ATACATTGTATGTTTGTGTGTGTGTGTTTGTGTAAAAAAAAAAAAAAACTTTACAAAAAAAGAAAAAAAAAGAAACAGGTCCGTGAGCCACCAGGGGGGGGGGAGGGGGAGCAAAGCAGCAACAGGAGCACCTCCTCCTTCCCAGGGAAAGGATCCTACCAGGGTGGGCAAACAGCTCGCCGTCTTTAGGGAGGGCATCATTCCTCCCTTCCCTACAAGGCTGGGGTGGCCTCCTTGGTGGTGACCACAGAGTTCTGCAAGCCAAAGGCCACTTTGAAGCCAGCTGATCAGTGGACAGAATGCCTGGTTCTTCACAGGCTTCCCTGCCCCCCTCACATCACCCCATAGCCCCCTACACTTTCTTTGCATAGCAGGAGAATGCCAAGCTGAGGAAGGATGGCCAGACAATAGGAGGCAAGGGAGGGAGGGGGCAGGAGGGACAAGGAGAGGTGGAGGCAGCCTCTGCCCTGGACCCTCTTTGGGCGAGAGGAGATTCCTGCAGAGGAAAGGCAGGAGCCTGGCAGCTTTTCTCAAGCCCAGATGGCTTCGGTGGGCACTGGGTCCCCTGCAGGGGAGGATCAGCTGTTCAAGGCTGTAAGTAAGAGATGCTGGATTGACAGTGGGTGCTGAAAGGCTCTGCAAACACAAGCAATAACAATAGCAATAGCCCTTAGACTTCTTTGCTGCTTCACGGTGTTTCACAGCCCTCTCTAAGCGGTTTACAGAGTCAGCCTGTTGCCCCCAACCATCTGGGTCCTCATTTTACCCACCTTGGAAGCCTGGAAGGCTGAGTCAACCTGGAGCCCCAACAGGATCGAACTCCAGGCTGTGGGCATTGAGTTTGCCTGCAATGCTGCACACTAACCTCTGTGCCACCAGGGCTCTCAAGATGCCTCACCAACCCCACAACTAAAGACTAAAGAGGCCGATTCCCACAAGAGAACCAGCCGCAAGTACAGATCAGTGGCCCGTTTTTCTGCCCCAACCTCAACAGGACAGCTGAAGCAAGTTGTATAGCGGGTACCAGCCAAAGGGGACTCCCGGCTTGGGCTTCCGAAGGTTGGTTGTTCTCCATCCCTCCCCAAGGAAAGAGGGCTCCACCAGCAGCCTGTCTCCTCTGGGGTTGGCATCGTTCACACAATCACTCTTTAGCCTGGCATGGTGCGCAGCCCCAGCCAGCAGGTTTAATGGGAGGTTCAGGGAGGGGGGGAGGTCCCGAGAGGGAGCTGAGTCTGGCTCAGGTCTCCCTCAAACCTGGCCTGTGGGACTCACTCCCAGTAAGAGAAGCCAGAACTGGGATCCAAGTTTAGAAAAGACTTGACTGTTATGGATAGAGACTGAGAGAGACGGCAAAGGGCTGGGAGGTAATGAGAGCCAGTTCCTGAAGTTCAGGCAGAGTGGAGGCCGGCCAGTCGCTGAGAGGAGAGCCAGAGAATGCCTGAATGGCCAATGGACACCAGACAGAGGGAGACAAGGTAAGCACGCCCCTTATTTCCTCAATACCAACCACCACTGACCTTAAATGCAAACTAATAAACGCAAGAAGCATCATAAACAAAATGCCCAAACTTCTCCTCTTATTAAATACTGGTACATTTGACATTATATTTGTCTGTGAAACATGGCTAAACTCATCCCTCCCTGACTCCATTATCACAGTAAGAGAATATCACGTTTACCGATCTGATTGCGAAACCCGCAGAGATGGTGGAGTAGCTATCTTCTACAAAAAGTCACTAAACCTAAAAATTATTCAAGTTGCACATGAACTCGCTCTTCCGGAAACTGTTGTCTGCAAACTGTCCTTAAACATCATACTTCACTTCTTACTATGTTACAGAGCCCCTGATTACGACATTGCACATGTGAACAAATTAACTACACTACTAACATGGACAGCCTCTTGCCCATACCCTCTCATCTTTCTAGGTGACCTCAACCTACCTCTTATTAATTGGACAATAAATGAATGTACAACTGAACCCATCCATACAACCCTATACAATGCTGTTACTAATCTAGTTCTAGATCAACTAGTAACTAATAACACTAGACTCAACAACTGCCTTGACCTCTTCTTCTGCAACAGCTTAAACTCAATTTATGGACTACAAATAAAAGAACCCTTTTCCAACAGTGACCACAACATGGTAGACTTTTGTCTCAATATACACCCTTACAAAAATCACCGTAATAATGGGATACCCAACTACAACTTCAAAAAAGCCAACTATGATCTCATAGACACCTCATCTCTTGATTGGCAAATTCTATTCTCTAACTGTAAAACTGCCGAAGACCATGATAATATTTTCTTGCTCAAAATCAAGAGTTATTAAACTATATGTACCACTAATTTCCACCAAAACCAGGAAAAACAAATTACCCATATCAAAAAGAAAGCTCCAATCCAAAAAAAAATCCCTCTGGTGAAAAAACAAAACTGGCTATGTAGCAAACTTTAAAAGCTGCTACAAAAATATATGCCACCAAATAAAAACTGAATGCACCAATTACCACATCAAACAAGAAGAAAACCTTCTGCGCATGAAATCCAATTGCGCCTTCTATAATTTTGTAAACAACAAACTTAAAGACTCTAGATCCATCCCAACCCTAAAAGGACCTAATGGTAAAGAATGCAATGATAAAGCAGTTAAAGCAAACCTCTTTAACAAATTCTTTGGCTCAGTCTTTGTTAACAGCAATGGCTCATGCCCAACATTTCCTAGTCGTACCACTAATGACTACAACAATCTAACACAAATAGATTTCACAGAAGATAACGTTGAAAAGGCACTACATAGACTGAAACCATCTCTATCTTTTGGACCTGATGGATTATGTGCCTACTTCTTAAAAAAGCTTTCCACTGCCATAGCAGAACCTCTAAGCATAATCTTTGAAAAATCTTTCAGTACCAGCTCCTTGCCCAACCTGTGGTCACTAGCCACAGTCATCTCTATCTTCAAAAAGGAAGACCCCAGCCTAGTCGAAAATTACAGACCAATCTCTTTATGCTGCATCACCTGCAAAGTCATGGAATCAATCATCAACCAATCCATTATCCTCCACCTAGAAACAAACAACCTACTCTCTAATAAACAATTTGGTTTCAGAAAAAAATTATCCTGTAATCTACAACTTCTACACTGCAAAAACATATGGACTACAAATCTTGATTAGGGCAAAGCAATAGATGCAATTTACATAGACTTCTTTAAAGCTTTTGATTCAGTGGTACATGACAAACTACTTCTAAAACTGAAATCCTACGGCATCTCCAAACCGCTCCATAATTGAATAACTGCATTCCTGCCAAACAGACAACAAGTGGTCAAAATAGGAAGCACCCTATCAAATCCTGCGCCTGTTAATAACGGTGTCCCCCAAGGCAGAGTTCTAGGACCAACACTCTTCATACTATACATAAATGACTTTTGTGATCATATTATAAGCAACTGCGTTCTCTTCGCCGATGATGTTAAACTATTTAACACCACCAACAATGCTGCTACCCTTCAAAAAGACCTTGACTTTGTGTCGGAATGGTCAAAAAATTGGCAACTCCAAATCTCAACCAACAAATGCTCTGTCTTACACATTGGCAAAAAGAATCAGAAAACTAAATACAAGCTAAGTGGACATGACCTTGTAGACGACCCTCACTCTGTCAAGGACCTTGATCTAATGATCTAAGTGCCAAAGCCCACTGTAACAACATTGCCAAAAAGGCATTAAGGGTTGTAAATCTAATCTTGCGTAGCTTCTTCTCCGGTAATATTACACTACTAACTGAAGTATACAAAAAATTTGCTAGACCAATTCTCGAATACAGCTCATCTGTCTGGAACCCGCACTGCATATCGGACATTAATACAATTGAGCGTGTCCAGAAATATTTCACAAAAAGAGTCCTCCACTCCTCTGCTCGCAACAAAATACCTTATGCCACCAGACTTGAAATTCTGGGTTTAGAAAATTTAGAACTACGCCGCCTTCGGTATGACCTAAGCATAACTCACAAAATCATCTGCTACAATGTCCTACCTCTCAATGACTACTTCAGCTTTAACCACAACAATACACGACAATAGATACAAACTTAAAGTGAACCGCTCCAAACTCGATTGCAGAAAATATGTTGTTAATGCCTGGAATGCACTACCAGACTCTGTGGTCTCATCCCAAAACCTCCAAAACTTTAACCTAAGACTGTCTACTGTTGACCTCACCCCATTCCTAAGAGGTCTGTAAGGGGCGTGCATAAGGGCACCAGTGTGCCTTCTGTCCCTGTCCTAATGTTTCCGTTAATTGTATTCATTTTATGTATTCAATTCATGCTTATACTTATATATATTATCTAATATGTACTCGACAAAATAAATAAAATAAAAATAAAAAATAAAAAAGAGCTGAACTCAGGACAGGGAGGAATTTCCTGACTGTGAGAGCTCTTCGGGCAGAAGGTGAGGCTCCATCACTGGGGGTCTTTGCAACATATTGAGCAGATATTTCTCAGGAAGGATCTCTGCTTTGGGCAACACATTGGACTGGAAGATCAACAAGGTTCTTCCAATTTTGGGACTCCACTTCCCCATTGGCAGGCAAGAAATACATAAAAGCAGTCATATAATACATCTAAATATAATTTTGAAGATTCTTCAAAGAAAAACCTAACACAGAGACACACACCCCATAGCATGCAGCTTCACCCACTTTGCAACACTGCTGCCCCCACCGAAGCACTTCCTTCCCCCGTGAAATATTTGCCTGCCATCTTGTGCAGAGGGCTCACCGCCTCCCCCTCGCCCCCAGCTGGTCTGGGTTTTCCCCAGATTGGCGGCAGGAGAGCCCAGCTGCGGCTGGCGGGGGGGGGGGGCTCCCTCAGCAGCCTTCCGGTTGTTTCCTACTCACATGCAAACCTGAAGCAGCCAGGAAGGGGCTGCAGAGACCACCCCCCTCAGCCCCACAGGTTCCCAAGAAGAGCAGGAACGCACCGATCTGCTGGCAGGAGGAGGCCTGGCTGAGGTTGGCCATCAGGCTCATCCTCTCCCTCCACAGGAAATCCAGGTTGCGGTTGGCTTGGTCCAGCAGGAGCTCCTGTTGCTGCAGTTGCTGCTGGGTCCAGTTCTCAGCTGCCCAGCTGTGCCAAAGAGCCACCACAGTGGAGTTGAGCTCGGCCGCATGGTCTTGGGATGCCTGCTGGAGCTGCCGGGTGGCCTGCGCGTCTGGAGAGAGGAGGCAGTTGGGGAACCAGAGCATGGGGTGGGGGAGGAGGGAGGAAGGGAGGGGGCCAGTCACTGGGCAGGTGGGCTGGTCTGAGCTCAGGAGATGCCAGGGCAAGGTGTGGGAGGAAGAAATCCATGCCACCCTCAGATATCACGGCACCCCTTTTCCCCAAGGAAGCTGCAGGGGGACGGTCAAGGCTGGGTCTCCAGGACTCACATTGTACCCCAAGGCTGACGATGACGGAGAGAAGAAAGAGGCTGATGCCCAGCACTCCCAAGGCCCCCCAGCTGGTCTGGGGTCTCCACCCTGGAGAGAAACACACCACTCAGGACATCCTAAGAAAGGATAGGGGATGCCCCCCTTTCATGCCCCCCTTTCATGCCCACCTCCGCTGTCCTGATGCCCCGAGACCAGGGCGCTTCGTGTCCTTGCAGCAGGCTGCTGTTTTCGGGGTTTGATCCCCTGGGCCACTGCAGGCCCCTCTGCCCTCACGGGGGTCTCCTGAAGAAGACTCTGGCCTGTGGGGAAGAGCAGAACGTGCTTGGAGGGAGCTGGGCTGGGGGTGAAAGGTGCAAAAAACAGGAAACTGGGATGCCTGGGCTATTCTGCCCCCCTAGGAGCCCTCCAGGTTAGGGACTGGGCACCAGGGAAGTCCCCGGGTGAAGGAGGAGGAGGGCATGTGTGAAGAAGGTGCCCCTGCCTAACTCTCCTGGGGAGGGAGAGAAAAGACTCCTCCAGGTTTGCCGTGCTTTGCTGTGCCCCCCCCAATCCAGATGGCACACAAACACTGAAAGGAAACCCCTTAAACAGGGCTGAGCACCCGACGCAGCCCCGGGGCCAAGGGGGGAAGGCCGCTTGAGCACTGAGGAACCGGCACTCACCTTTGGCCCCCTGGCCAGTTCTGGGGGGCTCCTCCTGTGCCCTGGATCCCTGGAGGTTCTCATAGGTGAGCTCCCCTTCGTCCAGCTCTGGAAGACAAGCAGGGGTCACGGGGGAAGGAGGCATGGGGGGAGCCCTGGAAGGGCCAGCCTGGCTAGCTCCTACCTTCCCCATGGCTTTTCTCCAGGGGGCTTCCTACAAACTGCAGATCAGCATAGGTCACTCTCTCAAACATCAGTGGTCACTCTGTGTGCATGCGTGTGTTTGTGTGTGTGGAGTGGAGTGGAGTGACAGAGAGAAAGGAACTGCAGCTGACAGGCTGAGGGCTGGTCAGGAGGGAGGCTGGGAAAGCAGAAGTTGAGGGTTGTGGGGGGAGCCAACCCAGCACGGGGTTGCCCAAAGGGAAACGGGGAAGGGCAGAGGCTGCTGCTGCTGGCACCCAGCCATCAGAAGTGTGGAGCACAACCTGGGTGGAAGAAAGTGTTATGCAGATACTCTGGGGTTCACTTTTGGACATTCACTCGCACACTCACTGCCCCAGAGAATAGCCAGACTAAGATCACTTTGAAGGCATAAGCCTGTGTAAATGTTTTTTTATCTTTATGTCGTATGTTGTGTAAATGTTTTATTTATGTTTTAATAAAGTTTATAATTTTTTTTAAAAAGCTATACATTTCTCAACAAATGGAGCCAAGAGTCATTCTTTCTTAGAGGTTCAAACTGTGGCAGCTCTAACAGTGATTGTCCAGTGGGACCAGTGGTGGGTTGCCCCCAGTTCGCACCGGTTCTATAGAACCGGTAGTAAAACCGGCAGGAGGCTCTGCCCACCGACCCCGACGTCACCAAAATGCTTCTGTGCACGCGCAGAAGCTTCTGCACTTGCACGAGTGAAGCAAACACACATGCAGCCCCTCTGCGAACCGGTAGTAAAGGTAAGTAGAACCCACCCCTGACTAGGACTCCAAGATCCTTCTCACACTTACTGACATTAAGCCAAGTTTCACCTAGCTTCTACCTATACAGTTGTTGTTTTTTCTTTCCTGTGTAAGACTTTACTTTTTTTTTTTTTCCAATTTACGTAACAATAAGCATTTTTTAACAGTACTGTGTCATGTGTCTCTTACAGTTATCTACATTTATTTCTATACATTTTTATTTCTTGGTTCTAACCACTTATACCATTTATCCCAAACCTCATAAAATTCTGTTTCTTCCTTGCCTTTTATTTCTAACGTGAGCTTATACATCTCGGCACATTCTAATATCTTATGTATAATCCTCTCACTTGCTGGTATATTTTCAAGTTTCCAATATTGGGCATAAACAATTCGTGCTGCTATATATGTAAATTGATACGTTGGAGTTGCTGCTTTATCCTTTGATTAATTATTCCTAGTAAAAATCATTCAGGTTTAAATTCAATTTGCTCTCCTGTTATCTCCTATAACCATCTCATCTGTTCCCAATATTTCTTTGCTTTATATTATATTTATATTACGCCCTACATTTTGTGCCCATGCTATCATACCAAGACTTTACTTTTATCTGTGTTGGATTCATGTTGTTGGATAGAGCCTATTGTTCATGTCTGTCAAGATCTTTTTGGATCCTTAGCTTGTCTTCTGGGGTGTTTTCTAGCTTACCAAGAAGTAGGCTGCGGTCTACTTTATCAAATGTTTTACTGAAAACTAAGTATACTATGTCCACAGCATTTCACTGATGCACTAATTTAGTCACTTTCTCAAAGAATTAAATAACATTTGTTTGGTATGATCTGTTTTTGACAAACCCATGTTGGCTTCTGGTTATAACCTTGTTTGCTTGTAGGTGTATGCAGATTTTTTGCCTGATTATCTTTTCCAAGATCTTCCCAGGTATTGAAGTCAGGCTGACTGGTCTGTAGTTTCCTGGGTCTGTCTTTTTTTTTTTTTTTTTTTTTGAAGCTGGGGGGGCCACATCAGCCCTTTTCCAGTCCTCAGGTAGTTCCTTGGTGCTTTCAAAGATATCAGGGGTTTTGTTGGTGTGTGTGTGTGTGTGAAAGGTATAGGGTTTCCTGCTTGAGCAGGGGGCAGGACTGGAAGACCTCCAAGATCCCTTCTAGCTCTATTCTATTCCTGATATATTTTAATGGTTCCGAAATCTCATCTGCCAGTTCCTTCAGCACTCTGAGATGTCGTCCATCTGGACCCAGTGATTTGAATCCGTCTAGAGCTGACAGGTGTTCTCTTATTTTTGCATGTTTTAATTTGCATTCTTAATCTGTCATTTATGGTTCTGTTTTTGGTAAGTTATTGTTTTCTTTTTGCCTGAAGACAGATACAAAGTATGAATGTAGCAGTTCTGCTTTCCCTGTTACTTCTTTGCCATCTTTTTCCATTAGTGGACCAATTGTTTCTTTGACTTTTGTTCTTTACTCCTTACAATGACTGGTGTCCATGAAATTGCTTTTACTATTGATCAGTTGACTGTTTTGGAGATTAGTAGCAATCTTTGTTAAAATGTACCTATTTGATTGCAACATAATTTCTTGCCCTTGTCAGCTACAGTTGGCTTTAGGGCAGTGGAAAGGATTGGCTAAGACTGTGATTATTTCCACCTGAGGAATCCCACCAGCCTCCTCTGCTGTCGGGCCCAGCAAGATCTGCATGCAGGTGACTCAGTTTCCCCTTCTCTGAAATGGGCCCCTGCGCCCTGCCCGGCTTGCCCTGACTTGACGTGGCTCCCCACCAAGTCTGTGCAGGTGTTTCTGCCTCCCACCCGCCTTTCAGAGCCAAGGCTGGAGGCCCCTCCGTGTCCTGCAGGAAGCCCGGCTGCTCAGAGAGGGGCATTCTCAGCTCAGGGGATCTTTGCTGCCCTGTCCTGAAAGAGGAAGGTGTGGATTCTGAGCAGGAGACCCAGGTAGGTAGGTTGTTTGGGGGGCCAGGGGGCATCAGGAGGGCCTGCTGCTGGGGGTCTGTCTTGGGATCTGACTAGGAGAGTGTCAGATCTGCCTTCAAATCCCTTCAGCCCTGCTTTGCTTCGCTTTGATGGTAGCTTGCCAGAGAATGTGGGGAGGGGGGATGGGAAGATAGGAAGGGGGGATGATAGGAACCAGAGGTGCCATGGAGAGACAAATGGTTGAACAATCCAAGGTTAGGGTTAGGGTTAGGGTTCTCCCAAAGGACTCAGGGCGGTGAACAGCCAAAATTGCTTAGCGCATTGTAAGCCGCCCTGAGTCTCCGGAGAAGGGCGGCATATAAATCAAATTTTAAAAAAAATTAAAATACATACAGTATAAAAATTAAAATAAATTAAAACAGAATTAGATCAGTTTGGCTTCCCCAAATTTTAAAACCCTTTACCCATAAAATAGCCCATTAAAATTTTAAGCCAGCCTGGCTTGCTGGAATAAGGAGGTCTTCAATGCTCAGCGGAAAGTACGGAGGTCCGGGATCAGTCGTATTCCTGGGGGTAGCTCGTTCCAGAGGGCGGGTGCCTCCACAGAGAAGTCTCTCTCCCTGGGGGTCATCAGTTGACATTGCTTGACCGACGGCACCCTGAGGAGACCCTCTCTGTGGGAGCGGATTGGCTGGTGGGAGGTTATCGGTGGCAGAAGGTGGTCTCGCAAATACCCGGGCCCTAAGCCATGGAGCTCTTTAAAGATGAGAACCAATACCTTGAAGCGCACCCGGAAGACCACCGGGAGGCAGTGCAGCTCGCGCAGGAGAGGTGTTACGTGGGAGCGCCATGTCGCCCCCATAATTACCCACGCGGCTGCATTGTGGACCAGCTGGAGCCTCCGGGTGCTCCTCAAGGGGAGCTCCATGTAGAGAGCATTGCAGTAGTCCAGGTGAGAGGTGACGAGGGCGTGAGTGACCGTGCATAAGGAGTCCTGATCCAGAAAGGGATGCAACTGGCATATCAGGCGAACCTGATAAAAAGCCCCCCTGGCCACGGCCGTCATATGCTCTTCTAAAGACAGCCATGCATCCAGGAGGACGCCCAAGTTACGAGCCCTCTCCGTAGGGGCCAATGACTCACCCCCAATAGCCAGCGATGGCACCAGCTGGCTATATCGGGACGCCAGCAGCCACAGCTACTTGGTCTTGGAGGGGTTGAGTCGGAGCTTGTTCCTCCCCATCCAGACCTGCACGGCCTCCAGGCACCGGGACATCACTTCAAGGGCATCGTTGGGGTGGTCTGGGGTGGAGATGTACAGCTGAGTGTCATCAGCGTACAGATGGCACCGCACCCCAAAACCACGGATGATCTCACCCAGCGGCTTCACATAAATGTTGAACAGGAGAGGCGAGAGAACCGACCCTTGCGGCACCCCACAAACAAGGTGCCTTGAGGTCGACCTCTGCCCCCCTGCCAACATGGACTGCGACCAGTCAGAGAGATAGGAGGAGAACCACCATAAGATGGTGCCTCCCACTCCCAACCCCTCCAGCCGGCGCAGCATACCATGGTCGATGGTATCAAAAGCCGCTGAGAGATCCAATAGGACCAGAACAGAGGAACATCCCCTGTCCCGAGCCCTCCAGAGATCATTAACCAACGCAACCAATGCCGTTTCCGTGCTGTACCCAGGCCTGAAGCCGGACTGGAACGGATCCAGATAGACAGTTTCTTCCAGGTACTGTGGGAGCTGTCACGTCCTCGGGAGTCACAGGATCAAACTCCTCCCAGATAACATTCTCAAGACCCGCCTTGGACACCCCGCCTGAACCCACCCAGTCAGAGTCCAGGCCGTCCCGAATTTGAGCGATTTTATCATGCAGATAATGTGCAAAATCCTCAGCACACCCTTGCAAGGGGTCTTCCTGCGCTCCCAGGTGGAGAAGGGAGTGGGTCACCCTAAACAGGGCAGCTGGGCAATTATCTGCCAATGCGATAAGAGGGGAAAAGTAGTTACATTTTGTCGCTTTTATCGCCACTAAGTAGGTCTTGATATAAGACCTCACTAGTGCTCGGTCAGATCCAGAACGACTAGCCCTCCAACTACTCTCTAGGCGTCTTTTCTGGCGCTTCATCTCCCTCAGCTCCTCAGAGAACCAAGGAGCTTGGCTAATTCGGCGCCGGGTCAGAGGCCGCAAAGACACGACCTGATCTAAAGCACCAGCAGCCATCCTATCCCAAGCGGCCACCAGGTCTCCCGTCGAGTTGTGAGCCAGAGTCTCAGGGAATGGCCCAAGCTCCATTTGGAACCTATCAGGATCCATCAGGCGCCTGGGGCAGAACTATCTGGTCGGTTCCGCCTCCCTGTGGCGGGGTGTAGCGGTCAGGAAGTCAAGTCTAAGGAGAGAATGGTCTGACCATGACAAGGGTTCGATGACTATATCCCCTGTATCTAGACCATTCAACCACTGACCAGAGACGAAAACCAAGTCCAGAGTGTGTCCTCCTGTGTGAGTAGAGCCATGAATTAACTGGGTAGGTCCATGGCTGTCATGGAAGCCATGAACTCCCGAACCACTTCCGACATTTCACCGATGGACGGCAGGTTGAAATCCCCCATGACCAAAAGCCTGGGGGTATCAACCGCCACCCCGGCTATGACATTGAGGAGGTCGGGCAGGGCCGCTGCCATGCAACAGGTATGCAATCAGCAAGCCCACCTGCATCCCATGGCCCCACTTCACAAGGAGAGACTCACATCCGGCTATCTGAGGTACAGTGGCCTCCCTAGGATCGAGGCCTTCCTTTACAATAACCGCCACTCCCCCACCCCTATCCTGGGCCCTCAGCTGATGAAATGCGCAGAAACCCGGTGGGCACATCTCAATGAGGGGAACCCCCCCTCCTGGCCCAACCAGGTCTCTGTAATACCCGCCAGGTCCGCTCCCCCCTCCTGAATCAGCTCACAGATGAGGGGGGCATTGTTGACCAAGGACACAAGTGTTGTGGCTCCGTTACCTAAGCCTGGGCTATCGACAGATGCAGACTCTGAGAGTGAGGGAGAACAGTTGGCAAGGCCTCCCTCTCCAGGACCCTCCTCTCTGGCAATGCCTCCGGAGGACACCGAAGGCCAAACGATAGCCTCAGAGCCAAGCACGTCCCCGCAGCCACAGGTGGACAGCGACGAAGAAGATAAGTGCTGGTTGGACTTGCGACAGAGGCGCAGGGAGAAGCATGCACAGCAGAGGGGAAGGCGTGCCAGAGATTAGCTGAGTCACTGGACCACACCCCACAGGGTATAAATGTGGATGTGGTGGCCGGTTCAGTTTGTGATGAGCAAAAACTGGAAATACTCCATGATCTATGCGTTACTGGACTTTGCCTGCTTTATCGGACTGCATTTGGATTAATCCTTGTATTGTTGACACTCTGCCTTTTTTATCGGAATGCTTGCAGTCTAATCTTTGTTTTCTGTGAGTAAAGTCTGAATTGGCAGCTAGCCACTGAGTTGCTGCCAGCTTTATCTTCAAAGAGTTTTGTCGTGTGGCTTATTAACTCCGGGCCATCTGTGGGGGTGCGTGTGGGGTACGGGGACAGAACAACAAGCCTGGGAGTGGAATGCAGAATGCCCATCCAAAGAGATGCCAACATTTCATTTTCATTTTTCATTTTATTAAATTTATATACCGCCCTACTCCCGAAGGACTCAGGGCGGTGAACAGCCATAAAATAAAACATGTAGATACAAAATTTAAAATAGAGATAAAACTAATTAAATAAATTTGGCTGAGACATTTTAAAACCCCAATAAATTAAAACCAAATTTAAAATTCCATTTAAAAAGGGGAAAAGTTTAGGTCAGGCCAGCTTGATAGAATAAAAACGTCTTAAGCGCACGACGGAAGGTACGCAGATCCGGAATCCTCCGTATCTCCGGGGGGAGCTCGTTCCAGATCGTAGGTGCCCCCACAGAGAAGGCTCTCCCCCTGGGGGCCGCCAGTCGACATTGTTTGGCCGACAGCACCCAGAGGAGCCCCTCTCTATGGGAGCGTACTGGTCGGTGGGAGGCTATTGGTGGCAGCAGGCGGTCCCGTAAATAGCCAGGTCCTAAGCCATGGAGCGCTTTAAAGGTGATAACCAAGACCTTGAAGCGCACTCGGAAGACCACCGGGAGCCAGTGCAGCTCGCGCAGGAGAGGCGTTACATGGGAGCGCCACGTTGCTCCCATCACCACCCGCGCGGCCGCACTCTGCGCCAGCTGGAGCCTCCGAGTGCTCCTCAAGGGGAGCCCCATGTAGAGAGCGTTACAATAGTCCAGACGGGAGGTGACGAGGGCATGAGTGACCGTGCGTAACGAGTCCCGATCCAGAAAGGGATGCAACTGGCGAATCAGGCGGACCTGATGAAAAATCCTCCCGGTCACGGCCGTCAAGTGCTCTTCTAAAGACAGCCGTGAATCCAGGAGGACACCCAAGTTGTGAACCCTCTCCGTGGGGGCCAGTGCTTCGCCCCCAATAGTCAGCGATGGCGCCAGCTGACTATATCGGGACGTCGAAAACCACAGCCACTCGGTCTTGGATGGGTTGAGCCTGAGCCTGTTTCTCCCCATCCAGATCCGTACGGCCTCCAGGCACCGGGACATCACTTCAAGGGCATCGTTGGGGTGGTCTGGGGTGGAGATGTACAGCTGGGTGTCATCAACGTACTGATGGTACTCCACCCCGAAACCACGGATGATCTCGCCCAGCGGCTTCACATAAATGTTGAACAGAAGGGGCGAGAGGACCGATCCTTGTGGCACCCCACATATAAGGGGCCTCGGGGTCGACCTCTGCCCCCCTGTCAACACAGACTGCGACCGGTCGGAGAGAAAGGAGGAGAACCACCGTAATACGGTGCCTCCCACCCCCAACTCTTCCAACCGGTGCAGCATGATACCATGGTCGATGGTATCAAAAGCCGCTGAGAGATCTAATAGGACCAGGACAGAGGAACAACCTCTGTCCCGAGCCCTCCAGAGATCATCCACCAACGCGACCAATGCCGTTTCCGTGCTGTACCCAGGCCTGAAACCCGACTGGAACGGATCTAGATACGTCGTTTCATCCAGGTACTGGGGAAGCTGTCGTGCAACCACACTCTCAACAACCTTCGCCAACATGTGGAATTGTTGCCAAAACACCTAATTTGAACATTTTGGGACAAAGTGGGGAGGCCTGGGAGAAAGGAAAATTACTGGGGTTACATAGGAAATCCTCAGATCTGTCTTTGCGACTCTGTAACCGCTGGCCTTTAGTAAAAGTACACCTTTCACTACAAATGGAGTCAAAGGTCTTTCTTTCCTGAGGGCTCAAGCTGGGACAGATCTGACAGAGAGACTATTGGGGAAGAGATTTCAGGTAAACAGTCAAGGAAAGTATAGACACAAAGTGCACCTGTGTGCATATGTATACACCAGGGTCAGCAACCTGTGGCTCTGGAGCCGCATGTGGCTCTTTCACCCCTCTGCTGCAGCTCCCTGTCACTCAAAATATGTGTCACAACCGCCAATGTGCAACCCCCGCTGGCATGCGATTATTGAACTATTCAACCCCTGGTAGGCCAATCATGGATAAATCCAAGAAAAGAAAAGTTTCAGAAGAAAACAGAATGTTTAATTCAACTATACTGTATATGCTAGTTTTATGGCCGCTCAAGAAATAGTCAGGCACGGGAAGAGTTTTGTGGCTCCCGGTGTTTTATTTTCTGTGGGAAATGGGTCCAAATGGCTCTTTGAGTGTTTAAGGTTGCAGATCCCTGGTACCATCCTTCTCGTGGCCTCACACTTCCTCCCAGAAGGCTGGGCCTGAGACTTTAATGCTGGACCCTGGAGTGTCTGGCAGACCCAGGGTAGGCCCAGGTCTGCCTCTATCCTGGGAGCTGGCACTGGGCCCTGCTGACCTGCATTCCTTGAGGAGTTCACACAAGGCACCTTCTGCCTAGGTCACTGCCCCATCTCGCTCCACCCTTCACTTCCTCCAGCCCAGAGGGTCTCATGGCCAAGAGGTCCACTGTCAGTCATTTGGCAAAACAGCGGTGCTCCTAGATCATCTTCCTAGATGCATTGTACTCCAGTACCCATAATCCCTAGCCAGAAGGAAGACACACCAGCAAATCAGAGGTGGTTGCCAGAAGCCGGGCAGGAGCTATGAATGCCATTTGCCCTATTTAAAAGGCAAATAGGGCCTGGAGGGGCTTTGAGGTTCTAGGGCCTGTGGTGGTGAAAACAGCCAGGGGGCAAACCAGAGACCAGCCTCTAATTCCCATCGTGGCATCATTTCCTGTGGTTTCTTGACAAATGGGTCAAATTTTGCAGAAAAGACTTAAAAAATCAAGTTTGGCACCAGGATTGTGAACAAGAACAAGGCAGTATCGAAGCGTCCATCCTCTTGGATGCTCTGGGCTTTGCCTCCTTCCACCCTGATGGAGAGGCTGCTCGGGAGTTTCAGGCCACGCCAGATACTCCTGGCAAGCATGAAGCATGAATTCCCTCCTTGTTGGACAGATTTATTGGATTCGCAGGCTCTGGAGGCTTACAAGAATGGCCTCCTGAGGGGCCCCTGCAATTTGGCCCAGGTGCAGCCGGCCTTTGCGTTTTCCTCCTTGGGGTAAAGCTGAGAAAAGCTTCCCTTGCGCTGCTCTTCAAGGGCTGCCTACAAGGGCCACGAACCATGTGTCAAAATGGTGAGCATGAGCAGGACTGCAATGCACGTTGCATGCTCCCGAGCACATAAAAAGGGCTGGGACTTTGACCCCCTGGTGATGCCCACCATTTCATTGTGGTTAGCAGCCCCTGCGGATGCCTCCGCTGTCCACCCATGGTCAGTTCTGGAGGAGGAAGATCCCAGCTGTCACCCGCTTCCTTAGTGGAGGCATCTACTTCTTGGGAAGATGGCTTCATCCTAGCCCTGGAGCTGGTGGCCAGCATCAGCTGCAGCTCTGAATGATCAGTTCCAGTTTGTTCTCCCACATCAGGCCGTTTGCAGTCCAAAGAGATGCAGAGTCTCTCAAAAGTCCCTCCACAGCCTTGAAGGAAGAAAGCAGAAATGTTGACATCAGGAGGGAAACAAGGTGAGGGAGACCACTCTGGGCAGCTGGACTGAATAGGGTACACTGCATATGAAAAGGGTCTCGGGCAGGGGTGAAATGCTATCGGTTCAGCCCGGTTCACTCAAACCGGTAGTAGAAAAATATTTTTTAAAAAGTTCCAACGATCAGCTGAGTCACGTATGACCATCGGAACTTTTTTTTTTTTTTTTTTGCTTTTAAAGCATTTTTTACTATCGGTTCTCCAGAACAGGTAGTAAAAAAATGCTTTAAAAAGTTTTTTTTTAAAAAGTTCTGACAATCATGTGTCACTCAGCTGATCGTTGGAACTTTTTTTTTTAACTTTTTAAGCATTTTTTTACTACCGGTTCAGGCGGATAGGTAGTAAAAACATGCTTTAAAAAAGTTTTTTTAAAAAGGTTCTGACGATCGTGCGGCACAGCTGTGATAGTCAGAATTTTTTTTTTACTTTTTAAAAGTATTTTTACTACTTATTCACCCACACCAGTAGTAAAAAATGCTTTAAAAAGTTTTAAAAACTTTAAGTTTAAAAACTTAAAAAGTTCCCAAGATTGCACACCGCAGCTGATTCCCCCCTCCCCCATTGTTCTCCTTACCTTCCCAAGCCTCCTTTTGGCGTGTACTGTGCATACGTGCGGAGCATGCCTTTGGTGCAAACTGCACATGTGCATGCACAGTGCGTGCTTAGCTCGCATGCGCGGCCAGCAAACCGGTTCAGACTTCCCCCTTGGTCTGGGGTCTGGGGTGGAACACAGGCTGAACATAAGCTGGGGCTATGATGCGGCAGCAAGAAGGGCAAGGACAGTTCTGGGCTATGTTGACAGAAGCAGAAGGTCAAAGTCAAAATATGTTTTTGCTCTTCTTGGTTCTGCATCGGGCAAACCGCTCCAGAATGCTGCAGCCCCATTTTAGGAAGGATTTGGGCAAAAGGGAGGGGTGGGAAAGACGACAGAATGAGTAGAGATTGGGGGGCAAGCGGCTGATTTGCCGAGTCTGGAGAAGGAAGCCTGGGGGGCCTGAAGGGGCAGAGACCAAAGCCAGGCACAGAAATTTTGGGCTTCAAATTCCAGGGAGCAGATTTTGGCTGGATATCAGGAAGAATTTCTTAAGGACAGAAATTGCTCCCGGTGGGCCAGATGGAGCTCAGGGGAGAGAAAGAGACCCTCCTTCTGAGCAGAGGGTAGGGGACCATCTGCCAGGAGATTCCCGGGGTGGATTTTTCTCTGCAGCACCCTGACCCAAGGGGGTGGGGGTGGGGGCAATGTGATCCAGAGTCCTTGTGTCACCTTCTGTAATGTGCTTATCCTGGTCACAGAATTAACCCATGTTCTGAGTTCACAAGGTACCCTGAGGCAAAAATTGAGCAAAGTGGCTGGGTCCATACCAGGGGTGAAATGCTCCCGGTTCGGAACGGATCATTTGATCCAGTAGCGATGGCGGCGGGTGGTTCGGAGAACCGGTAGAAAAAATCCCTGCCCCCCCCATGCCCAGCTGAGCCACACGATCATCAGAGGCTTTTTTTTTTTTTACTTTTAAAAGCATTTTTTCTACAACCTCTTCCGACGAAAAAATGCTTTTAAAAGTTAAAACAAAAAAGCCTCTGATGATCGCGCGGCTCAGCTGGGATCATCAGAGGCTTTTCAAAGCATTTTTTAAAAAGCCTCTCTGACGATCCCAGCTGAGTTGCATGATCGTCAGAGGCTTTTCAAAGCATTAGAAAAAATGCTTTGAAAAGTTTAAAAAAAAAATAATTACCCACCACCACCACCACCAAGCCACGCCCACAGAACCAGTAGTAACAAATTTTACATTTCACCCCTGGTCCATACCACACATTAAACCATGAGAAACCAACTAAGGTTAAAACTAAACAAGTTTGGCATTTTCAATCTTAGCTTAGAATCAGTATTCCCAGTGTGCACTTTGTCCCTCCCTCCCCGGAATGGGTCCGTTGGCTTCATTAAGGGAGTTGCGTACCCATTGCTCAGTGGGTGGTCCTCAGGACTGGCTGCCCTCTCGCAGATGAATCTGTAACTCGAAGATGATGATCCCTCTGAGGATAGTTGTCCTTTGTGAATCATTGCATAGTAGCTTTGGTAGCTGAAGTAGCTACTAGATAGAGTTTCACTTCTGGAATGTTTAAAAGACACTTATGAAGAAACCCCGAAGTCAACATCTTCACAGATTTCTTTCTTTCTCTACTGAATGTGAAACACAAACTCTGCAGCAGCTGAATTTCCAAAGTGGTTAAAGATGAATGATGATGAGGTAAATATCAGTGTATATAATAAGGTAGATTAATGAATGGGAATGGGAAAGTAGACACTATAACAATAATAGTGATTTTGATAGTCTTGAACTTAAATTGTTATTGTATTGGTAAGAGAAGAATTATAGGATATACTGTGATGTTATTTAGGTGAAAGCATTGAATATGAAATGATAAAGAAATGTGAAAATAAGTAATTTGATAACATTATTAATTTTGATAACAATGTAAATTAAGATGAATATTTAAAATGTCAATTGTAAAGAGAATAACAATGTTGAAATCATGTAAGCAATTATTATTGTAAAGAAGAATGAATAGAACTTGTTTGTGATGAACCTCAGCAGATGGAAATGTGAAAATAAGTACTCTAGCAACATTATTAATTTTGATAACAATGTAAATTAAGATGAATAATTCAAGTGCTAATGATTGGGAAAAAGGAATTAGAGACATACTTCCGGAAATGAAGAAAGATGGTAAATAACTGCAATAATTGAAACTGAGGAGAAATATAAGGCATAAAATGATCTTATTTGTAAGTAAAATTGAAAATGATAAAGAATTATGGAAAGAGAACAATATGGCAGAAGTTGAATAATAAGATATGGTGAAAAATGACTAATTTGTGATAAAGAATTATATAAAAGAGATGAATATTGGAAAAAAATGGGAAGATTAAAATATATTATAACTATGATTATGTATAAGATATGACCCGGTCAACACTCTGTTCATAAAATATGTATGATGAAAGAAGAAATGTAATAAAACTTGTATTAAAAAAAAAGTAAGAAATTGCGGGCAGTCCAACACTGGGAGGGTCTCCTGCTTGAGCAAAGGGGTTGAACTAGAAGACCTTCCAAGTCTTGTTATTCTGTTCATCTAGAAGGCTGGCAGCCGGGCAGGCATGGCTTCCTCAGGCGTTCACTCTGAGCTGAACCATCTAGGGATGGAGCTCGCCTCAAAGTGGCCTCCCTGCCCCAAAGTCTTTCAAAGGGCGATTGGCAGGGGCCTGTAGCCACCTCCTGGGTAGCCACCCCCTCCCCTTTGCTGATGTGGAGCTGCCTCCACACCTTCACTTCCAGCAGACAAGCATTTCTGCAGGAGACCCAGAGGGAGAGCCAGGATCTCCAGTGGGCAGAGTGACTGGCTGCTTCCCCAGGACAGCCTCCTCTGCCACTCCCCCCAGCCTCCACCACGACCTTCAGTCTCACTCACCCTTTGTAGGGGGAACCATCCACCCACTTCCAGGTCCAGTCTGAAAGTCCAGTTCTGTCTTTCAGAAGTCCGACCCAGAACCACTCGGAATCCCAGGAACTCAACACCTAGAAACGAGTAAAGTAATAACTAGCAGTCAGCACGGGTTTGTTAAAAACGTATCATGCCAAATCAATCTTGTTTCATTCTTCAACATAGTGACTAAATTAGCAGACCAGGAAAATGCTGTGAACATAGTATAGTTCGACTTCAGCAAGGCATTCGACAAAGTAGACCACAACCTACTTCTTGGTAAGCTAGAAAAATGTGGGATAGACAGCATCACCACCAGACGGATTCGTAACTGGCTGACACACTGTACTCAACGAGTAGTCCTTAATGGGTCTACGTCTACATGGAGGGAAGTAAGCAGTGGAGTACCACAAGATTCCATCTTAGGCCCAGTACTCTTCAATATCTTCATAAATAACTTAGATGAGAGAATAGAAAGGGAACTTACCAAATTTGCAGATGATACTAAACTGGCAGGAATAGCCAACACCCTGAGATAGGCTCAAGATCCAGATGGATCTTGACAGACTTGAACTCTATAGGGTTTGAAGAGGCAAAGTTCTGCTCATACATTCTAAGCATAGGTTGGTGCTGCTCCGTTGAGACTGGGGGTGTGAGGGTGGGCTGTCACTCTTATGGAACATGTTAGGAAATTGTTATTGCTCAACTGGTTGGTCAGGAAATATATAAACCAACATTGTGTGTTTGTAGCTAAAAGTATTATGTAGCTTTAAAAACTGTGTTGCATCAGCTTCCAGTTTGGTTTCCGCCGCCACCGGACGGTCTTTTGGGACCGCCAGCCTCGCCGCCCGTAAAGAGACGTCTCTACAGCTGAGAGACGGCTCAAAAAACTCCGTCTCCTTGAGGAGACGTGAGATAGAGCCGGCGAGAACAGGTAGAGCCCTCTGCGAACTCCCCAGAGTTTTTTATTACTCTTGGGGAGGAAGCAGAATGTGGCTCCCTATTCAGCTCGCCGCTGCTCCGGGCGTCGGGGGAACTCTGCCTTTTTGCAGAGCCAGGCGATGGGACTAATCCAATCAACGAAATTTAATAGATTGTCTGAATAAACAGGATGAAACCCGGATTTGGGACCCTAAATCGCAAGTATTTCTAACAATTTTATGAGAGATTTTAAAAGCGAAGAAAGAAAGTTTAAAATGGTGACTGGCTGAGGCTTGAGAAGAAGAAAGCTGAAAGCGAAAGTCCTTCCGTTTGAATAGCTTAATATGCTACAAAGTATCTGAAACAATAGCGCTGGCTAGAATTGAAGAGAAAAAATTCTATTTTATGTTTCTTCCTTCTTAGAGACTTGATATTGATATTGTTTGGAGAAAAGTTCTTTTTTTTGAAAAAAGAGTTTGTTTGTGTGGCAGGATGGCGTTAAAACAGACAAAGCCAGACAACCAAGCTGGGGGGGGTTTCCCCCATTTACAAATCATATGAGCAAGTTTTGAGCTTGCAGATTCAGAAGAATGGCTCTAAAGACCTAAAAGAATTTGTTTTGGAGGAGATGGCAAGACATGATGAGATTGTGAACCAGAATCTTGAAAAATTCAGGCAGGAAATTAAAGAGTTGGTACAACGAAAGTATGATAATCTGAAACAACAGATTGTAACAGCTTTGAAAACTTTTTCAGAAATAGTTATAAAGATGGATAAAGATACCAACTTAGAATTAGAGTCTAAAATGAAGGAAGCTGATGATAAGATTTATAATTTGGACAATAAAATACAAAGAATTGAAAATGATTTGATAAATATTCAAGAAAATAGCTCAGAAGTAAAGCCTAAAATAAAGGAAGCTGACCACAAGACTTACAATGCAGGTAATATAAAACAAAGGATTGAAAGAGAAGTCACAATGATGCAATATAGGTCCATGGAATTTGCGGTCAGAATGAGGGGAATACAGGAAAATAATAGAGGACTTGAGAAAGATGTCTGCTGAAGTTCTGGCTGTGATTTTAAAGGTTAGTCCTGAAGAGGTATCCTGTAAGATTGATAAGGCGTACAGAGTAAATTCTTGGGTTGCAAAGCAAAGGCAGTTGCCTAGAGATGTGGTGATTTACTTTACTGATAAAGGAATAAGAAATGATATTGTGCAAAAGTCTTTTAACTCCACTCTAGAAATGAATGGAAGGAAGATTTGGATATATAAAGAGCTGCCGTCCAAGATGTTAAAAGATAGAAAGGAATTTGGATTTTGGGTGACTGAGCTAAAGAAACAAAACATCCCATTTAGGTGGGATGTTCCAGTTGGTATAATATTGAGATATCAAGGAGAAAGATATCAACTAAATACTGTTGAAAAAGCGGAAGAATTTTACTACAAGGTTTTTAAAATGGATCCAACATCTCCACGTATGCCATCAGTGTCAGGAACACAGGAGGGGAATAAAGAAAAGCAAAATGAACAAGAGATTGAAACTCAGGCTAAGCAGATGGAGATGGAGGTAATGGAAAAACAACAAGTTACAGAGGCCCTTTTGGACAAGCCGCTTTTGGATTCTCCTTCAGAGGTTATAGCTGGATTACCTATAAATATAAGAGAGGCGGCTTTCGACTTTAATGAGATGTCTTATCAAGTTACAGACCAGCATGGAACTCAATCAGCTGATATACAAATCCTAGAAAGGCAACTAGGATGGAGATCTAAACCACAAAAAGTTAAGAAAAGAAGAAGCAGGTTCTACAAAACTAAAAAATTTTAAACTAAACAACAGTCTAATGCCAGTTATTGAAGAGACGATTAAATATAATAAGCGGGATTTATAGATGGCTGATACATGAAAATATAAGTGAGGCAAATTATTGACTTATACTATTTTGAGAAGAATAACAGATCTCTGCAGTGCTGGTGCTTTTGGGATGTGGAAGAAGGCCTCTGATTGAGTGGATTGGAACTTTCTATTCTGGACTCTTTGAAAAATGGATTACGTATATGCTGAGTTATAAGGCAAGAGAACTATGGGATTGGGGCATGCAGAAGATCTGGTTGTTACCCCAATGTGGTGGTTGGAATTAATAATCTAGATAAAAGACACTATAGAAGATACTATATGGAATATAAATATAAAGTCACTCGGGTGGTTTTTTATATACGAAAATACTTACTATTGATGTGGGCAGATGGTAATGGAAGATACTGAATATACTGTTGGAAGCTGAACCTGATGTTACCCTAACATGGGCGATAGAATTAATAATCTAGTTGAAAGACGTTACAGAAGATACTATATGGATTACAAATTTAAAGTCATTTGAGGATTTTATTCATATATGGAAATATTTTTTAGTTGTGTGGTGTGGGCAGAAGAACAAAGATATTAAAAATATTATGTATGGTAGACCTGTAGGAAAATGGGTGGAGATGGGTTAGGTTACTGATTGTTTAGTTTAGGAAAAGGGATGTTATGTTTAGATATAAATATACGTAAAAGATTTGAAATAGGAGATATATGTATGGGGGTGGAGGAAATGGGTAGATTATGAGTTGAATAAATGTCAAATTAGGATTTATTATATAGTTTTATAGCTGAAGGTTGCTTTGAAATGTATAGTATAGGGGGGATATAATAACAATGTTAGAAAGAAATGGTTAGCATGTGGGGGGTGGTGTAAAAGGATGGTAAAATATTATATAATTTATATATATATATATGGGGGGTGGGGAGGGTGAGGGGGGGTTAGGGAGGAGGAGGGGAAAAAAAGGGGGAAAAATCTGTATTTGAAAAACTTTGGTAATCAAAAGAGAACCAAGAAGGATGTTAATCTAGCTATATCAAGCCCTACTACTGTAAACCATGATTTGTGGGTAGTTGATAGTGGTGCATCTCAATCCATCACTAGAAGTAAAGAAAAGTTTGTAAAACTGAAAAATAGCAAACAACATGTAACATTAGCCAATGGGTGGAGAATGAAAGTAGCTGGAGAAGGTATTGCACATTGTTCATTTATTAATGAGCATTTGCCAATGTTGTATATACCTAATTTAATATTCAACTTGTTATCTGTTAAATCATTATTACAGGCTGGATTTGTAGTAACCTTTAGGGGAGGTAAATGTTTAATTGAGAAGGATGGTAAATGTGTTACTGCAAAGTTAGAAAATGACTTGCCTATATTAAGAGATAATCCAGCAATTGTGGCTAATACTAATTCAGTTTATGACAATAAAAAGCCACATGATGGATGTATACATTTACTTCATCGACGTTTAGGACATATGAATTTTAAGGTATTGAAAAAGACAGTAGAATTATCTGAAGGGATAAAGTTAAAACCATGTAATAGATACCTCAATTGTAATGCCTGTAATCAAGAGAAAAGCAAACCGAGTGAATGGATTTAAAACCAAAAGACCATTAGAAGTAGTGTTTGCTGACATAATTGGACCTAAACAACCCAGTTTGGATGGAGCCTGCTGTATCTTAAGCATTGTTGATCATTTCTCTAGATATGGTTTCTGTTACTTGATGAAAACAAAGTCTGAAACATTTCAGCCTATGTCAAATTGGCTAAAATTTGTTGAGAGAAAACAGAAACATAAAGTGGTTTGCTTGGTAACAGATAATGGTACTGAGTTTACAAATCTAAGATTAGAGAATATGTTGCAGGAGGCAGGTATTGAACCTAAACGTTCTGCCCCTTAACAGAACATATCCGCTAATCCTTAACAGCTAATAACAGCTAATATCCTTAACAGAACACATCCGTCCCCCGCCCCCCCTCTTTGGTCCGCTTTTCCTCACCTGTGTGAACGCTTCGCCCACAGCCTCCCAGAGCTCTCGGGCCGACCAGGGCTTCGGGAGGACCAGCAGCCGCGAGGACTTCCGCTCGCAGTCCAACTTGCTCTCACTCCACGTCTTCCGCTCGCTCGATGCCCACAGGCACTTCCAGCGGAACAGCGTCCATCCACGAGGGCAGCACCCTAGAGGGAAGGTTCGGAGGGGGACCTGCCAGGACTGGGAGAGCGGCGTCCGCTGGAGCTTCCTCGGGTCCGCCCTGCCCAGGGCCACTGGTGGCACCGCTCCAAGACCCGCCCCGCCCCCCAGTCCATCCCCCTGCTCTGAGATGCCATCGAAGCAGCTTTAAGTCGGCCAGGGGGACGGGGGTGCAACCAGCATCTCCGGGGAATCCCATGAGAAGGAGGCGGTGTTTGCAACAGCTTAAGAGGGAGCTGGTCACGCTCAGGTTCCCCTGGTCCAGGCTGAGGAACCGAAACTTTGGGGACGGGGTGTAAGGTGCTCAGTGACACCAGGCTCAGAACCTGGGGGCAGTTCATTCCAGGAAGTTAGCAAAAGTGGAGAAGCAACCCCCACCCCACCCCACCCCACCCCTGGGATTTACCCACCCAGACCCCACCTCCTGCTCAGGGAAGCCCCCAAGGTCCCCAACAATGCAGGCTTTTCCACTGGAAGAGGCAGGAAGAGGGGAGGCCAGACAGAGCCCAGAACCTACCAATCTGCCGGCAGGAGGTGGCCTGGCTGAGGTGGGTCTCCAGGCTCGCCTTCTCCCTCTGCAGGAGAGCCAGGCTGCTATTGGCCTGGCCCAGCAGCAGTTCCTGGCGCTGCAGCTTCCACCGGGTCTGGTTCTCGGCCGCCTGGCTCTGCCAAAGGGCCACCTTGGTGGAGTTGAGCTCCTTCTTGGTGGAGTTGAGCTCCTGCTCGGTCAGGCGCAGCAGGTGCCAGCTCTCCTCCAGGCCGGCTTGAAGGTGGTGGGTTCTTTCTCCCAGGATGTGGCTCTTGGCTGCATGGTCGCGAGATGCTTGCTGGAGCTGCCGGGAGGCCTGCAAGTCTGGAGAGAAAGTGGGTGCGGATGAAGGTCTCTTCTCCAGGATTCTGGGCTGCCAGGTGGGAGACAATTCTCAGTCCAGCAGCCCTGACTCTCCTGGTGGTGCCCTGGCTTCTGTGGTGTTGAGCAGGAGCTGGGGGTCACCAGCGCTGAAGTCCTGCACAGGCGGAAGCTGCCCCACAGCCTCCCATAGTGGGGAGCCACAGCATGGCTTGTCTTGGCCTGCGTGGGGACCTGCCCTCCCTCGAATAGAGAGGGAGGCACACCTCCAGAAAACCCTTCTTCTCTCCCCCCCACAAGAATCTGGGGGTCTGCTACCCCCTTGTTCCCTGGAGATTGTCAGGGGACAGGTTTGAGCTTAAAGCAGTTGCTACTCACACTGGACGCCAAGCGTGATGTTGGTGGCCAGAAGGAAGAGGCACAGAGCCAGGGCTCCCAGCATTGGGCGGTTTGTCACTGAAAGAAAAGTCCAGATCCTTCTTAGTGCGATGTGCCCCTCCCCCACCCGTTTGCAAAATTGTTTCTTCCACGATGTAGAATAAAGAAGGGATAACCTGGTGTCCTACTTTCTGCTTTCATTCTGCTGCTATTAAAACAGTTATCCCACAGCTGAGTAAAGCTGGAATAATGTCCAGATAATAGGGTGATATAAAAATAAATGTGCCAACTCTTCTCCAAAATCTGCCCCCTTTTTCTTTGTGTCTCCTTTCCCCCTTTTCTGTTGCAAACACTTTCTCCATTTCCCTCTGCTCTCTCTGCCCCCCCCCCCACTTGCACACCTAAATTGGACCAGCTCCAGAATAATGCCCAGTTCAAACACAGCTATGTTTCCACTGCCAAAATAGTCTTTTTGTCCTGTCCCAAGCAGAACAATGCAAAGTGCTCACCTAAGAAAAGTTCACCTAAGAAACAGGAGGTGAGAAATGGGAGCTCTTCCCTCCCATCAATGTGAGCCTTGAGGGTCTCTGCGCATCCCCTCCTCTTTGCTGTGGAATCCGCAGCAGCTTCACTTTACAAAGACTTTTTCCTTATCTCACTTGCTCAAAAGATCCCCAGGAATCCGCTCCTTCAGATTTCTCATCCTCGTCCCCATAATATGAAAAGATCTCTGCCTTTCTATTATCCAGGGTCCCTTTTTTTTCCTTTCTCTCTTTCTAGCCAACCCAGTGATTCAGTATTCCAGTATCTGAGAGGCTGCCACAAAGGGGTTGGTGCGTTTCAGCCTATTCCCCAAAGCACCTGAGGGCAGGACAAGAAGCAATGGATGGAAACTAACCAAGGAGAGAAGCAACCAAGAACTAAGGAGAAGTTTCCTAATGATTAGGACAATTAATCATAGGAATGGTTTGCCTTCAAAGTTGTGGGTGCTTCATCATTGAAGGTTTTTAAGAAGAGATTGGACAGCCACCTCTCTGAAATGGTCTAGGGCAGGGGTGTCAAACTACAGGTCCGTGGCCCGGATCTGACCCGCAGGGTACTTAGATCTGGCCCGCAGGGCCGCCTGGAAACAGCAAAGGACCAGCCCGCAGTGCTTCTGCCAGCAAAAACAGGCTCCCGAGCATTCAGCCTTCCCGAGCATCGTTTTCACTGGCAGAGGGTTGCAGGAGGCTGTGGCAGCCGAAAAGGGAGCTCCAGAGCCTGTTTTCGCTGGCAGAGCACTTGGGTCACCACAGGCACCAACAAGAGGGATGTTGAACTGGCCATGCCCCCCTGGCCATGCCCCACACCCTCCCCAGGTCAAACACAACCCTGATGTGGGCCTCAATGAAATTGAGTTTGACACCCCTGGTCTAGGGCCTCCTGCTTGAACGGGTTGGACTAGAAGACCTCCAAGCTCCCTTCCAGCTCTATTCTGATTGATTGATGCTTGAATAAAGTTTGGCCAATTCTTCTCAACATTGTGATCCTTTCTTTGGCAAAAAAAAGTTCCAGGGGGTTATTGAATTAAATCTTTCTTTCACCTTTCATGTGAGCTCTCTGTCTCTCCCTTTATCTTTCTCTCTGTCCCCCTCCCCCCTTCCCCCCTCCTCCTCTCCTTTTCCTCCTGCTTTTCCTTTTTTACTCCTTCCTGGTGTCTAAACATCCAGCTCCTTTTTCTCAGCTGAACTGAGCGTGCGGCTCTGCCTTGGAGAGAGGAACCAGCTGGGCATGTGCCAGCTGCAGCCTCCTGCCAGCTGTCCAGACATAGGCAGGAGAGGCTTCTGCCAGCCTTTAAGCTACTCACCTGGTCTCCAGCGGTGACAGGAGGTGGCCCAGCATGGCAGTTCTGGGGTATTCTTCAGGGGGCCACACTCTGCCGCCTCTTTCTCCAGGCCCCGGGGTACCTGGAAGTTCTCATAGGTGAGCTCCCCATCATTGGGCTCTGGAAGACAAAGGGAGTCAGGAAGGAGAGGACAGAGGGGAGGTCGGAAGGACCCTAACCAGGCTGACCCCTACCTTCCCCATGGCTTTTCTCTGGAGGGCTTCTTGCAAACCGCAGGTCAGCATAGGTGAGGTCCCCAGCCATCAGGCTGCACGCAGGGCAGCCCTGGAGCAGCAGAACAAGGAACTGCAGAGGCACAAACAATGGGCAGAGTCTATTCAATGCTCTCCTGGGACAGCACAAAGCAGAAGTAGCTCTCTGGTGGGTGGGGAGCAGCCGGCCAAGCCCAGCCCCAAATTCCCGCAACTCTAGCCCTGTGCAGCACCCCAAAGCTCCGTCTCTAGGGACCGAGCTGGCTGCCTCTGCGGACTTTCCCGGCCCAGCGAGACACGAGCACTTGGCTTCCCCCCAGTGAATGACACATCTTTGCAGCCTCAAGGGCAGATGAGCCAGAGGTTCTGGGAGGAGAATCGCTTGGTTCTGCGGCACCATCGTCAGTGACCACATCGACCTTGCCCAAACCACATCCCTCCCTGGTCCTCCAGTCTCCCCACGGGGCTTCCATCATCTGTCCCCTGGGCTGCTGGCCCTCCTTCTCCTTCCTTCCACCTCTCCCAGCCTCAGAGCCCTCTCCGGAGAGCTGGGTCTTTGCAAAATGGGTCTCCTCAACTATGGCAATTTAAGCCTGAATATTTGTGCCTCAAATCAGAACCCGGGATTGATTTGTTCCAGGATCCATTCGTTGGTTTATTTGGCTGTCCACCATATTCTCCAAAACCTTCTCCAACACCAACGTTCAAAGGTATCCGTGCTTCTCCTCTCCTGCTTCTTCAAAGTCCAACTTGTGCTTCCATAGAGGGTCCCAGGGAATACCACGATTTGCCCAATTCTGATCTTTGGATTGAGTGGATCCAGTCGTTTCCCAAGCCCCTCCTTGCAGGCCTTCATGATGTTTGTAGGTAAAGGCAATCATGATAGCTGAGAATCTTCTCCAATTCCTTCAGGGTTTTCCTACCACGTTCTCGTCTGCAGCAAATTCCTTGGCTGCCTGCTTCCTTCACAATCACCCCTGCAGTATCTTCACAGTCAGTTCTAAGGCTGTTGCCATATGTTGTGTCTCGGTCCCATTTTTACTCTGCTCCGTGCAGAGTAAACCGTGATCGCTTGATGGTTTCAGCCATCAAAATAACAGCATCATGCAGGTTATCAATCTCTCTTGCTCCAGTTTTAAATCATGCTAATCTTGCTCTGGTCCAGCTCCCCTCAATCTCCATTCTGTACCTGGGTTGAATAAGTTAGGGGAAAGTATTTAGCCTTGTCTTTCTTGCTCTCTTAAAAGGCATCCTCAGAAGGTCCTCCACACAGAAGAAGGAAAACCACCCTCTCCTCAACCTCAGAAGGAAACCTCCAACTGGCACCGGCAGTGCAGCTCAAACTACAGAAACAATCAGCATTCTCTGCCCTGCTGCCCCCCCCCCTCTGCTATCAAGTGTGATGAAAGTGCTTGGTGTTAATTAGAGAACAAAAACAAAGCTGGTAAGAGAGGATGTGGCTGTCCTGAAGGCCATCTTGTGATTTCAGAAGCCCCAGCTCAACATCTTCTCAAAGGGAAATTATCACAAAAAGAGAAGAAAGGCAAGAAGACCAAGTTCTTGGGGAAGATCGCGGGGGGGGGGGGGGGTTGGTTCCTGGGAATGGTCCACGGCTGTCATGGTTGCCATGACCTCCTGAACTGAGAGGGAAGGCAAAGCCCATCAGCTGTGGGAGCTCCAGGGCCAAACCAGCAATGAGGCCCAGCAGCCATTCGGGAAAAGGCTCTGCAGCAGGGAGAATGATAGACACGGGGGGGTCCTGCCTTGTCCACAGACCCCCATCCAGTTATCTGCAGGAAGGTCTCCTAAATGTCAGCATCCTCCTGGATGACACCTGCCAGCCCAGCCTCTGCCTCTTTGGAGGCCAGTGCGACCTAGATCCATGAACCGTTCCGCACTGGACTTGGTTTCCAGGCTTTCTGTCAGCTCTGCCATTTTCAGCTTGGTGCCTTGCTGGCATCCTGCCATCAAAGGCTATGTGGGGGGGGGGGGGGGGGAGGAAGCAAGGGGGAAACAGTGGCCAATAAAACTGTATTAGTTGTGCTGGTAAAGAAGGGAGGGGGGAAGCGACATCTTGATGACCAGAGCATTCAAGGCCAGGCACCCTGAGAAAGTATGCAGACTACCCTAAACGTCTCAGCATTCCCAAAACACCTGGGTGAATCTTCATTGGCTGAAGATGACCTGGTCATAGGGGGTGGGGGCTGGGTTGAGGGGAACCGTTTTTGTATTCTTTTAGCATAGGAAGTATCTTTTACTAAAAGAACCTATCACTTCAACCAAATGGAGTTGAGGGTTTTTCTTTCCTAAGGAATTGGAGTGGGGCAGGCCTAACACCTTCACCCTCTTGGCAGTGTTCCTTCTCCTCTGAACATGCTTCCATTGGTTACAAACCCTTTCAAACTGGGGTGCCCGTGGCTTCCTGCTGAGATCTTAGCCTTCCAATACCTGAAGGGCTGCCACAAGGGAGAGGGGGCGTCTTATTTACCAAAGCCCCTGAAGGCAAGACAAGAAGCAATGGATGGAAAATAACCAAGGAAAAAAGCAACCTAGAACTAAGGAGAAATTCCCTAACAGTGAGAACAATTAATCAAATTGCCATCAGAAATTATGGATGCTCCAACACTGAAGGCTTTCAAGAAGAGACTGCCAGAAATAGGTCTCCTACAAGAGCAAGGGGTTAGACTAGGTGACCTCCAAGGTCCCTTCCAACTCTATTACTGTTACATCCCTGGAACAGCCCCACAAGTGTGAACAGGGCTGCAGTGGTATCGCTGGCCAGGACAGCCAGGTTCTGCTCACGAAAACCTCTCCAGAGGTGCTGGGTGGCAGCCAGCCTCTAGTTTTGGCCATCCTGCATGCAGGGCCGCTGTAGATGTGATGCCAAAGAGACATCACTCTGCAAGCCGCACAGCTGGATGCTGGGTTGCCATGGAGATGGGTGGGTTGCTGGGGTTACAGTAACAAAGACTGTCATCCTGCCTGAGGATGCCCTGCGGAAACCCCCAAGCTCAGCACCAGGACTGGCCGCTGTCCACGCAAAGGCATCTATGTAGCCAGTGACTGGCATGAACGCTGGGAGGGGGGGAGGAATGGTTGAGTGAGTAGGGGCTGCTTCAGGCCAGTCCTTCCTTGCAAGCAGGGTAGCATTGGCAGAATGCGCCCCCCCTCCCCGGCCTCTTATTCCCCGCCCCCCCCCCCCAATCCTCCTGTGGAGCTGTGTTCAGGGCACCAAGACCCTCCCACCTTCCATGGTGGCCCCACATGTAGAGGAAGGCCAGACTGGTGCAGAAGAGCCTTCCGTGCAGGAACAGTCCACCAAGGAATGGACCATCACGCTCTGGCACTTTGGGAGCCTATTGCACAGGCTCAGCGCCCATGCTTGCCCCCCTCAGAGCAAACCTGCAAACTGAGTGGTAAGAGCAAAAGCAAAGGTGAGAAGGAAAAGTGAAATGAGGAGGCTGGCACTCTCTCGCTCTTTCTCTGTGAAATGAGAGTTTGATTCTGAAAGGATTTAACATGTACTTGGCAAGCATGAATTCACCAGGTCAGCCTTTCTCAACCTTTTGCCTTGGAAGAACCCTGGAAATAATTTTCAGGTCTCAGGCAACTCCAACAGCCAACACACAGCATGTAAAACGTGCCACTACTGCTTGCACTGCATGGCACATAAAGTTCAAAACCCATCTTTTTTCACACTCCATTCACACAAAAGTTGTGTGTGATCATTCCAGGCTCACACATAGGAAGCTCTGGTGGCTCAGCAGACTAATTAACATCCACTTACATCTGCTGCCTGCAATTACTGCAAGTTCGAATCTCACCAGGCTCAAGGTTGACTCAGCCTTCCATCCTTTCAAAGGTAGGTGAAATGAGGACCCGGATTGTGGGGGCAATAAGCTGATTTTGTATAAATATACAAAAGTATGAAGGCTATTGCTTAACGCATTGCAAGCCGCCCTGAGTCTCCGGAGAAGGGCGGCATATAAATCAAATTAAATAAAAAATAAAAATAAAATGAAGCTCCATTCGCGCTAGTGGAGGGCGAGTGTGCCCACAGCTTGCACCAATTGAGCTGTGCGTGCACGTGTGCACCTGCCACTCACACATACATCCACATGTGCCGGGCCGGCAAGGTGGAAAGGTTGGAGACTCTTGTTCCAGTCCGACCCCCTGCCCTACACAATTCCTTCAAAGCCTCCAGCCATGGGAGCCCAGAGAAGCTGCTAGCTGGAGGCAGGAGCGGCTTCTGGCACTTGGGAGTCATCAGTGGGGGGGGGGGAGACAGGTAGGTGGGTGGGTGATAACTGAAGAACCAGAAAGGAGTCCCCGGCACCATCCTGAGGGAGGGAGGGAGGGCCATCCTGAGTTAGAGACAGAAAGTCAAGCCAGGAGAGCCTTTGCCTCTCCTGCAGGAGAAATGCCCGTTTTGAGTCTGTGCTGCAGAAAGGGAGGGAGAGAAATCAGGAAGGATGGTGGCTGCCTTTGTTGTTTGTGGTTGAGATGCTGACCCTGGAACTGACCGTTTTTTGGCTGTGCCAAAGCTTTAGGGTCCTGGAAATGCTGGACGTGCCTGTTGGAAGACACGGGATGAATCCTGTCTGAAAAATGGGAAGATGGAGAGGCGGCAGAGGGGGCAGAAGCTGCTGGGAAAGGGAGGGTAGGGGGGGGGGGGGGGGGGGGGGGGGAGGCATGAAAAAAAAGCAGGAGGAGGAAGAGGCTGCCAATAAACAAAAATGCATATAAAGGAGATGTTGCAAAAAAAATGAAAAGATTGTACAATGTTTATCGAGTTGTATACAGTTGCAAAGATTCCAGTAAAGGAGAGAACAAGGAAAGTTTAAGTTCAAAAGAAGCAACCGAGAGAGAGAAAAACTTAGGGAAATTTTGATAGAAATAAAGAACAACTCTGAAATTGTCCAGGAGCAAATCCTCCAGCAGAAGGGAGGGATTTTAAAAAAAGCAGGTATGGCAAGATTTGGGATCAGCCTGAAGCTCCCCAGCTGTGGCCTGGGCCAAGCGGCCTTCAAGAAATATCAGTGAGGAAGGGGCCGCGTGCTCAGGCCAGCCCTGCAGCCCCTTCCTGGCCTCCTCTAGCTAACAGGAAGGGGCCGTATCTGACCAAGGACCAGCCCTGCCCTCGGGGCTACACTTTGGTTGAAACAGCCAGTATCACCCTTTGTCTTTGGCGCCTGTTAGCCCATGACTGGCCCTGGATCAACCCTCGCACTTCCCTTCTTCTTCGCTGCTAAGGCCAGGACTCGCTGCTTCTCCCGGCAATTCTGCCTGCAGATCTGTAGATGCACAAACAGACCACGAACGTCTAGATGACCTTTTAGGAGAGTCTGCTGGAATTACTCGAGAATAACCTCTCCCCCCCCACATACAGACCCAGAGAATGACAGAAAACAGGGACCCAACATACCTTCTACCATCCAACCTGCCCAATCTTCTCCCCCGTCCACCCCACAGCCTCCCAATATCAGAAATCAACACAAAACAGCACAGGGTGTGGCAAGAGTACATTTATGCAACAATCACAAGCATTTCCTCATCCGAACTTTGTTTTAGACCCTCAACCACAAGTCAACCAAAATTGTGGTGATGCTATTTGAATCCTTAAAAGCCTTCTGTCAATTCCACAGCGTCCCCCCCGCACGGAGTCCCTCCTGCTTACAGCCCCCTCCCAAATTGAGCTGCTTCCCTTTGCTGGGGGCTGTCCCAGGGACCCCCCCCACCCTTCTGCTCAGCGGTGTGAGACTGAGCGGAGGCCACTTCCCCTTTCGGCCTTAAAGCAACAGACGTCGGAAAGTCACAGCGGCCCAAGGAACAAGCTCATGGGCTGAGGCTTCCGGCTCAGGCACATGGGAGCACAGCAGGGCCGCATTTCTGTTCGCAGAGGGGGTGAGCCCTGGAACCAGAACACCAGGCCTGCCGCATGAGCACTTTCCAGCCATCATCAGGGAACTTTTGCCTCGAGGAGGGTTTTACCTTCGGAAGCTTCTGCTTCACGGAGCTCTTAAGCCCACCTAACAAGCACCCAGGGCTGTTATGAAGAAGGGCCTCCCGGGTGGGATCGGGACAGGAAAAAAAACAAGCCCAAACTGTCAGTGAAGATCTGCGGCAGAAGGCCAGGTAATATCTACATTTCAGGACTGAATTATGAGCAGCGTGCAAAGGAGGCTTCAGAGTTCGTTGTGCTGGAGGCCTCTAGAAATTCTGCTGGATAAATCTTGCAAGTGTTTCTTGACCTGGAAGGACAAAACAGATTTTATTCATCCTAAATAGAGTTTAGACATTTCAGTCACAATTTAACTTAATTTATTCAGTTTACATCTTCCAATTTGAAACCACTCTGCAGTTTCATTTTTTAAAAAATATGTAACATTTCTGCTTCAGGATTTTAAAATCACAGGATATAAATTTATAAATGAAGAAAAAAAAAAGTACAGATTTTTCATTAAAGCCCACACTCGGTTTTTACTTTCTAAATGAAAACACTTCTTGTCTCATGAGCAACTTTTACCTTATAAATCCCAAGCATTCAGGGCATGATTGCCAAGAACTTGGTTGCAATTCGAAAAGAAGCAGCAAGTCCTCAGGAGGAGGAGAGGGCACTACCAGTTGCCAGCCTGACACCCAGCCCAACAGCAGCCCCCGAACTTGGCTTGGAGCTCCCCAGACCAGCCACCTTTCCAGAAACTAAAATGGTTCCATGAAAACCACAGCCTCTGCTCCGTCAGGCAGGCCGAGGGGCCAGGCGGCCTTCCCTCTCCCCGGCCTTTCTACCAGATGAGGAGGCCCAGCAAGCAATGCCGAAAGGGGGCCGAGGAGCTGCACTGCTTCCTGGCTGCTGAGGCAGCCCATTATCTCAACAGCTTTTCCAAATGACCGTATTTGACTGACTGTCTTCATGGCAGGATGTGGGTTTGTTCCATGAAGCAGCCTCCTTCTCAGGTTCTGCCCTGCTTCAAGTCCAAAAGGATCTTGCTGAGCTTTGGAACCTGCAGCTGTTCTGCGCGTTCTGCTTAGATGACTTGGGTGTGTTCTGCTTAGGTGCTCGCTTGGCCGCTCTGCATTTCTGGACATAATCCTGATTTCCCCACCCTGAAGGTCCCCGCAGGTGCTCTGAGGAAAGGCACACCTGAAGGACAGGAACTGGGAAGCGCCCCACAGGAAGGCCCAAAAAACTCAGTAACTGCCAGGGGCCCCTCAGCTGGTCACCCAACGGCCACATCTGTTTTGCTGCCATGGTTTCACTCTTGTTGTGTCCCATGTCCACGTCCCTGCCCCCTTCCAGGTCAGGATCAAAGCCTATTTGCAACGTGGCAGTGGAGGGAGAGGGCTTCACAGGGCTTGGGGCAGCAACAGAGGGGCTCTGGCCTGGACCACCCCACCCAGACCAGGACAGCTGCTCTCTCTCCTCTTAATACATTTTGTGATATTAATTTTAATTCTTAATTTCGATTATAATAATTTTATGGTTTGGGATTTTTTCTTAGCCTGGAACCCAGGCAAAAGATGCAATCAAGGTTAGATGGGTGAGGATTTAGCAGCTTCTCTGCCCCCCCTGCCCCCCCGGGTAGGGCAGAAGGCCAGAGCAGAGGGCTCCCTGCTGCCCACCTTGTACCCCAGCTCTTTCGTCTTCTCTTCCAGCATGGCGTATTTCTCCTTGTTTTGGCCGAGATGCTCCTTGTCCCCCGTTCCTTCCACGTGCTTCAATTTCTGGTGGGAGATCTCCAGCTGCTTCTGATAATGGTGGTGCTTTTCCACTTTGGCTTCAAAATGTTTCAGCTCTTCCTAGAATACAAAATAGGCCTTTGTCCAAATGGGAGCTTGTCACATGGCCACCAGAGAGAGCCAGTCCCTCTAAGCCACACCAGCACTTGCCATCTTCCGCAGGCACAGCAGCACAACCCCACCAACTGTCTCAGGTACAAACAGGCCGAAGCCACTGAAGCCCTTTTCAAAGAGTGCAGGGTGGGGGGGGGGAGGTGGGGGGGGAAAGGTAGCCACTCTCCTGGTCCTGAGCCACTGTGGCACAGTGATTAGAGTGCAGGACTGCAGGCTGCTTCTGCTGACTGCTGGCTGCCTGCAATTTGGCAGTTCAAACCTCACCAGGCTCAAGGTTGACTCAGCCTTCCATCCTTCCGAGGTGGGTAAAATGAGGACCCAGATTGTTGGGGTCAATATATAAGCTGCTTAGAGAGGGCTGTAAGGCACTGTGAAGTAACTCTTAAGTGCTATTGCTAGCCGTGCCAAATCATTCCAAATGTGCAAACTTACAAGTTCCAGAACTTTCACCGGACAAGGGCATTGCCTGGACATCCACCTGTTGGGGACACCTCCAGTGGGACTCTGCACTGACCAGGTGGCTGGATTCAACGGCCCCTTTCCGTTCTATGGGTCAGCCACAGGTCCGCAGATGCTTTCAGGACCCATGGGAAGAGTAAAGGGCAGGTGCCTTTGGGGTAACTATGCCTGTCCTTTGTCTGAGGAAAGGGGCCCGTGAGAGAACTGCCCTCTTCGAAGGGCAGAGGTCAGGGGCCTGGCATTTCACGCAAGAGCAAACAGCGGTAATAAATGCACCCAGGCTACCTACCCGAAGTGATTCAAGCTCTTTCTCTGTGAAATTCGTTGACTGAGCCAAATCCCACAAGTCAATCACACGGGGCTCTTCGAATTCTGGAGGAGGAAAGAAAGGGACATTTTCAGGGCTGAACACAACATTGGCCGACTCAATCATCTGTGTATGTGTCTGCAGAGACTTCCGCAAGATGCGTTTGCGATGGGACTTTGGAAGAGGTGGCCAAAAAAAGTAAGAGCTGTCTGTGAAGGCAGAGGCAGAGGCAGAGAAAAAGCACGGAGGCCCGTGGGCACCAGGCAGCGGCGGTTAGAACCAGCCTGGAAGAAAGACTGAGACCGTCTGGCCTTTCCCGGCCAATCAGAGATCCTCCCGAGGACACTTACCCGGGCGGGGGCTCCTTTGGGCTGGGCCCCTCTCCCAAGCCCAGCTCCCTGGGGCCCTTCCTGCAACCTCCAGACAGCCGGTGCCCCTTCCGTCCTCAGAGCAGCTGCAGACCCACCTGGGCTTTCTTCGAGAGTCTCCAGGCAGCGAGTCCCACCTTTGGTCCTCACGTCAACGAAGAGGAAGGTGTCCCTCTTAGCTGCTGCTTGGTCGCCTCCCCCTCCCTCCCCCCGTGCCTGGCTAGCCCGAGGGAGCCCCGGAGGGGGATATGGAGTGCTTACCGCTGGCGGAATCGTAGCCCTGGTAGCTGACTTTGCGCAGGCGCTCAAAGCCCTGGTTGATGCTGTGCAGCTGCTCCTTGAGCTCCGAGTGTTTGCGATGCAGCAGCTCCTTCCTGGCTGCGCTCTCTTCCTCCGCCGGCCGGTCGATCGTGTTTTTGTGGACATCTGCAAGGAGAGGAGCTGGCACCGACCCCAGGCCCACCCAGGGCCCAGATGTGGAGGCCTCACTAACCCCGCCTGGATCAACATTCACAAAGGTAGAGCTGAAAACACGGGGGTCTCTTGTTCAGAACCAGAAGTGGGGGAACTCCTGGCAATTCACCAGAGAAAGGCCCTGCAGGGGGCATGGACCTTCAGCAAAGATGGCGGGGACAGACAGGAGAGAGCAGAAGCTGCCTTGGGCACCTGCCCTCAAGACAGGTCTTCTTCCCGCTGGGCAGGAAGCCAAAGGGGAGAAACAGATTCCTTTTGTCAGACTGGAAAGCAGCCCCCGTCACTGGCTTCCTGCTTAGAGACTGCTTCACTTAATGACAGAACTGCCAGTCACAATTGTAACTAAACAAGGACCACCTGAACCAGCCAGCCATGCACCTCTCACAGCTCAGGGGGCCTCGCTGCCCCTCCCCCAGCTCTTAAGCTCCCTGAGGGCTCATCTCCATACCTTCTGTCCGGCTCATGGTCTCCAGCAGGATGTTGTATTCGTGGACTTTCTCTTTGTGGTGCTGGAATTCCCTCCACAACTTCTCCAGTTCCTCATCTGAGAACTTCCCGGAGCTTTTGGCCTTGAAGAGAGATCCAAGGGAAAGCAGGAGGATCACTCCCACTCTGCTTAAAAATGCTCTCCCTGTGCTCAGTAGAAGAATCGCTTCTGAAAACTATTCAACAGGGTATTGAAGATACATTTCCTGGGGGAATCTAACATTAACCACTTAATATTTTAGCTTTAATTAATATTGAAATTAAATATTAACATTAATACTTTAATATTGAATTTTTAACACTGCTTTTATATAGTTATATGATTTTCATATATGCACTGTTGTATTGGATTACTGTATGCCACCCAAAGTACTCTTGGTGAGATGAGCAGCCATTTAAAGTTGATTATTTAATTAACCTTCTTGATATTCTATTCTCTGGAAAGAGATTTTGTTATTGGGCATCACTCCTGCCCCCCAATTCTAAGAGAAGGAGCTGCTGTGGAAGGCAGGCATTCTTCCGGGCCAGCAGCCCAAGAGGGCCTCCCTGAGCGGAAGGAGGCAAGATCGGCTTCTTCCTCCAGCCTCGCGACCAGAGTGTCCCTGCGGGATGAGAATGGCAGGCACCACCAGGACCAGGAATAGGCAGCCAATCTCTGCCAAACGGGGCTTTGGGGAGCACAAAACTGGGGGGTGGGGAAAGAGCATCATTGTGGCACCTTAAGGCCCTAAACAAAAGGAGGACTCACTATCCCAGCCAACCAGGTTATAGAGTGCAAAATGGGTGGGAACTCATTTGCAGGGAGACTCCTTCTCCCTGCAATGCAGCTGGGCATCTTGTCCCCTCAAGCATGACTTACTAACATCCCAACTTGGAAACAGTAAATAAAACTCTGAATCAATGAAAATCAGAAGCCCTCCAAGCCCCCCCCTCCCCCCGGGCTCCAGACAAACCTTGTTCCAGAGTTTCTCCAGCCGGGGGTCACCAAGGCCATCCTGCGCGAAGCCCTCCTTGATGTGGTTGGTCTCCCACTGCTGCCCCTCCTTCTTCCCACTCAAGCCGTATTTAGTCATAATTACTGGAGGGAACCAAAGGAGAACAAGATGGCAATTTTGGCCCAGATCACTTAACATTTATTTTCACGGTTTTGTGAAACTGGGAGTGAGCAGCCAATGGACTCTTTGGGGTGTCGGGAGAATCTAGTGCTTTCTGCATTTTGGGAAATTCCACCTACCCACCCATAGAGTGGACTGACCCTTAATCTGATTCAGCAAAGCAACATATTTTTGACAAAAAAAGTGCACGTTCAGGACCATTTAATATATTTTAGTCAGATATTATTTCTATAAGATGTTACATACTAAAATATTGCAATGGGATTATAGATCTATTTTAATTATGGGAGACTGGAATGGAGTAATTGACTCTAAATTAGATAAAAAGAGTTTGGCAAAGTCTAGGATCAGACTACCACAGACCTTTTTTGACATGAAAGAAGATATGGAATTAAAAGATGTTTGGAGAATACATAATTCAAAAGAATTGGACTACACTTTTTTTTCTGACAGACACAGATCCTTCTCTAGGATTGACTTCATTTTGTTGACAGATGATTTACTTGTTAAGACAAAAAGAACAAAGATTTTTCCAAGAACTTTGACTGACCATAGCCCAGTATGGATAGAAATTGAGATGGACAAGGTTGAGAGACGTTCTTGGAGATTAAATGAGAATTTGTTCAGATATGAAAAAAATACAACAGAACTCAAAAAGCATTTGAAAGAATTTTTTGAAATAAATTTGAATAAAGGTACCCCAATTGAAATTGTGTGGGACGCAAGTAAAGCTTATATGAGAGGGGTACTTATCTACATGAACTTTAAACATAGATTGTTCCGACAAAAGAAAAGATCTGAACTGGAAATAGAAATAAAGAATAAAGAACAGTTACTTATTAAAAATCCAACAGATGAAAGAATACGTAGTGCTATAAAACTTTTGAAAGACCAATTTCAAATGCTTATGGCGGAACAAGTTGCAACAAACTTACAATATGCGAAGCATAATACATTTTGTAACGCTAATAAACCGGGTAGATGGTTGGCTTACACATTGAGGAAAAAACAAAGTATACGGACTATTGATAGTATTGATATTGGAGGGAAAGAAATCTTTCAACAAAAATTAATTAAAGAAGCTTTTGTGGACTATTATACTAAATTATATGCTAAAGAGGAGGTGCAGAATGGACTTATAGAAAAATATTTAAATGATAAAAGAGTTACAAAAATTACTGATCAACAAAAGGACAGAATGAATTATCCTATAACAGAGGAGGAGATAATAGTAGCAATTAAACAGTTAAAAACAGCCAAAGCTCCTGGCACGGATGGTTTCACCGCAGTGTATTACAAAACCTTGCAAGCTGAAATGGTGGAACAACTTAGAGATTTATTTTGCAATATTCAGCAAGGGGGTAAAATACCCCCATCATGGACAACAGCCTACATATCTTTGATACCAAAAGAACAAATCGGTCCTAAAAAACCAGAGAACTATAGACCAATATCTCTTTTGAATACAGATTATAAAATCTTTGCGAAAGTACTAGCCAATAGGTTGATGCCAGTAATTCAAAAGGTGATTCATGATGATCAAGCGGGATTTATCGAGGGCAGATACATGAAGGACAATGTAAGGCAAGTAATAGATTTATTGGAATATCTTGAGAAGAATAAACAGATTCCTGCAGTGCTGGACTTTTTGGACGCAGAGAAGGCCTTTGATAGAGTGGATTGGAATTTTCTACTAAAGACTTTAAAAAAGATGGACTTTGGGGATCAATTTATACAGGCGATTTCAGCAATTTATCAAGAGCAAAAGGCACAGATCATTATTAATGGAAGTCTGACAACAGAGTTTAAAATTGAAAAAGGAACAAGACAGGGATGTCCGTTGTCCCCACTTTTATTTATTTTAACACTAGAAGTCTTGTTAAATACAATACGGGACTCTAATACCTTGAAAGGTATAAAGATTAGGCAAGAGGATTACAGAATAAAGGCATTTGCAGATGATCTGGTTGTTACCCTATCACAACCAATGGAATCAATAATCTTGATGAAGGACATTATACAAGACTATGGTAAAGTTTCAGGTTTTAGACTGAATCCAAAAAAGACTAAAATGATAGCTAAAAACATGACACAAGATCGTAAACATGAGCTTGAAAGGAGGGCAGGTTTTGAGACTGTACCTAAGGTAAAATATCTAGGAGTTCAGGTTGCAGAATCAAACATGAAATTGTTTCAAAATAACTATGAGGTGTTGTGGCGAGAGGTGCAGAAAGATATGGAGACTTGGAAAAAACTGCAGCTGTCTCTACTTGGAAGAATAGCAGCAGTTAAGATGAATATTTTGCCAAGATTTCTTTTTTTGTTTCAAATGATTCCGGTGCTTAAAAGTGATAAACAATTGAAAGTTTGGCAATCTGGAGTGAATAAGTTCGTCTGGAACGAGAAGAAGCCGAGAGTGAAATTGAAAATTATGCAAGATGTTCCAGAAAGAGGAGGTCTTAAACTTCCAAACCTACAGTTATATTATGATGCAGCAGCTTTAACTTTAACAAGTGATTGGTTTGGAAGTAAAAAGGTTGCAATATTGAATGCAGAAAGTTTTGATCTTGAATTTGGATGGCATGCCTACTTATTTTATGATGACAAAGTTGATAAAGTATTTAAAAGTCATATACTTAGAGACTCTTTGATGAGAGTTTGGAAGAAGCACCGACTCAAATGGGATTATAAAATACCGTTATGGCTGGATCTTGGTCATACTTTGTGGAATACAAATATAATGTCACTCGGGGGTTTTTTATACAGAGGTTCTTTTTACAGATGCGGGCAGATGGCAGCTGAAGACATTGCAGACACTGTTGGACGAAGGGATTAATTTAACTTGGTTACAATATAATCAATTACAATTGAGATGGAAAGAGGACCAAAAAACTGGTATTATGTTGCATGAGGAAGAATTGGTTAGACATATAAGAGAGAAAGGTCCAATGCATATCAAGAGGCTTTATAATGTTTTGCTAGAAAGGGACTCAGAAACTGAATTAGTTAAAGATTGTATGATTAAGTGGGCACAAAATTTTGAAGAACCAGTGATGTTGGAAACATGGGAAAAAATTTGGGTTCAGAATGTTAAATTTACACAGTCGCAGAACCTGAGGGAAAATTTCTATAAAATGTTTTATAGATGGCATTTAGATCCCAAAAAGTTGTCATGTATGTACCCTAATGTTCAGCCAAAATGTTGGAGATGTGAATGTTTGGATGCTACGTATTATCATGTTTGGTGGACCTGTAGGAAAGTTAAGGCTTTTTGGATAAAAATTTGGTGGGTCATGCAGAATGTTTTGAAGAAAAAAATTCAATTCTCTCCACAATTGTTTTTATTGGGTATAGTTAAGGGTTTTACATTGGGTGAAACAAAATTGATATTGTATATGATAACAGCAGCAAGATTGTTGATAGGTAAATACTGGAAGAATGAAGCTTTGCCCACTATCGAGGAATGGACTTTGAAGATGGCCAGTTTTGCAGAGATGGCGAAGATTTCAGCATATTTAAAAGATTGTTCACAAGAGACTTATGAATGGGAATGGAAAAAGTGGATAGAATATGTTCAGAACAAATATCAAACTAGAAAGTATCAAATAGCTTTTATTTGAAAATAATGTATTGGAAATATTTTAATGTAATGAGGTAAAGAGAAAAATTATGCAGGGGAGGGAGGGGTTCAAGTTTATATATAAGTGTTATATTAAGGGTTTTTTATGAGTATGAGTATATTATAGGGAAGTCTGGGGGGAGGGGAGGGTTAGGGAGGGTTAGGGAGGTTGGGAAGTCTGGGGGGGAGGTGGGGGGGGAAAAAAGGGGTGAAAATGTAATTGTAAAACTTTTGCAATAAAAAAAAAAAAAAGATGGCAATTTTGGCCCAGATCACTAACATTTATTTTCACGGTTTTGTGAAACTGGGAGTGAGCAGCCAGTGGACTCTTTGGGGTGTCGGGAGAATCTAGTGCTTTCTGCATTTTGGGAAATTCCACCTACCCACCCATAGAGTGGACTGACCCTTAATCTGATTCAGCAAAGCAACATATTTTTGACAAAAAAAGTACACATTCAGGACCATTTAATATATTTTAGTCAGATATTAAAAAGGTAAAGGTTCCCCTCGCACATATGTGCTAGTCGTTCCTGACTCTAGGGGGCGGTGCTCATCTGTGTTTCAAAGCCAAAGAGCCAGCACTGTCCAGACACCTCTCCGTGGTCATGTGGCCAGCATGACTAAATGCCAAAAGTGCATAGAACGCTGTTACCTTCCCACCAAAGGTAGTCTCTATTTTTCTACTTGCATTTTTTACGTGTTTTTGAACTGCTAGGTTGGCAGAAGCTGGGACAAGTAATGGGAGCTCACCCCGTTATGCGGCACTAGGGATTCGAACCACTGAACAGCCAATCTTTTGATCGACAAGCTCAGTGTCTTAGCCACTGAGCCACCGCGTCTCCCAGTCAGATATTATTAATTTAATTTAAATATTAATTAATATCCCAGTCAGAGATTAAATTGCTACAATTATCAGCTGCCACCTCAGGCTTGCTTGTGCCTCGCTACCATGGGGGACAGTCTGCCGTGGACCCAGGGGATGGGAGGGAGGGCGCTTGGGGGAAAGCAAAACTAACTGCTGTATCTCCCAGAGAGGCTGCTTCAAGGTTAGCCGGCTGAGAGAAGGTGGCAGCTGCGTACCAACCTACACTTGACTGTTCTGAAAACATCCTGATTCAACTTGATTGGACGCAGGGGTCAGCGATGGGAGTTAAGGGAGAGAAAAATTTAACTTAGGGATTTTGGCACGTGATTCTTAGTTCTGGCTATGCTATACTGCAATACACTTGACTTCTATTAAACAATACCTTTCTCAACAATTGGAGCCAAGAATCGTTTCTAATGTTTAAACTGTGGCAGGACTGACCACAATTAATGATCAACAGGTTCAGGCTTTGGAAAAAAATGCAGTTCCTCTGATTGCATGACAACACTGAAGAGAGGCTTTCATTCTTAGAAGGGCCTGAACCAGCTGGAAAAATGGGACTGATGCAGCCAGGTAAATTTAGGGAACAGATGCAAATTCCCAGATTTGGGCAGAAAATATCAAGGGACATAAATAAATGGAATTCATCCAGAGCGGCAGTGTGCAAAACGGTCCTGGGCGCCTTGGGGATCAAAAGCCATATAGAAGCCAACAGCAAATGCACAGTGACTCCATGACTTCTTGTGGCAAGCAGCTCCACTGGTTGATTGTCCTCATTGTTAGGAAGTTTCTCCTTAATTCCAGGTTGCTTCTCTCCCTGACTAGTTTCCATCCATTGGTTCTTGTCTTGCCTCTGCTGCTTTGGAGAATAGCTTAACTCCCTCCTCTTTGTGGCAGCCCCTCAAATATTGGAAGACTGCTATTATGTCCCCCGCCCCCCCCATCCTTCTTCTCTCTAGACTGGCCTCTCCAGACCTCGCTCTCCTTCTCAACGCAGTGGAGACGCCAAACTTTTCAAAATCATCTTTACTAACAGGATTTGCAGAGCAGACCTCAGGGGATCCCTGGGGAGGAGGGGGGGAAGCTGACAATGAGCCCAAAAGCCCCCCTCGCCCCCACTAAGCAAGCAAGGAATTTAACAGGGGAAACGAAGCCTGGTACAGAATGAAAGCAAAGGAAGCCACAGAGAGGTCGCGCATTAACGCCAAAGAGGGGGAAAGTGGCAGAGAATAAAGAGGTGCACCCCCAGCACCCCTAAAACTCAGAAGAAGCTCCCCGGGATGAGACCCAACTTTAAATGGCCCTCTCCAAGAACAGCCTTTGGAAAACTGCCGGTTGGGCAGCAGATCTGAAGGTTCATGTGAGATGCAGACACGAACCGCAACTGGATGCTGCTATGCTCAGTCATACTCAAGTCAGAATAGAGCTGGAAGGGACCTTGGAGGTCTTCTAGTCCAACCCTCTGCTCAAGCAGGAGACCCTGTGCCATTTCAGACAGGTGGCTGTCCAGCCTCTTCTTAAAGAACTCCAGTGATGGAGCACCCACAACTTCTGGTGGCAAACGGTTCCACTGGTTAATTGTCCTCACTGTTAGAAAGTTGCTCCTTAATTCCAGGTGGCTTCTCTCCTTGGTTAGTTTCCATCCGTTGCTTCTTCTCCTGCCTTCTGGTGCTTTGGAGAATAGGTTGACCCCCTCTTCTTTGGGGCAGCTTCTCAAATATTGGAAGACTGCTAACATGTCACCCCTAGCCCTTCTCTACATTAGACTCGATGCACCCAGTTTCTGCAACCGTTCATGTTTTAATCTGCAGGCCTTTAATAGCCTCCAGGCACTCCATATGGCCTCCTGTCTGATTTTGGTTCCATGTTCCTGCCTCCTTTTCAACCCCAGAGACCCCTGCAGGAATCCAAGAAGACGGACGGAGGAGCCACTCGGAGCTGGCAAGCAAGATTTCTGCACCGCCATCCACCTGCAGCGCATCTCCAGTGAGATGCCTGGAGCATAAAGGACGCCCAGCTGCAAACTTGGTGCCTGGAGGAGCTCAACCCCCCTCCCCGGAAGACCAACACCCCCCACCCCCCAAGGCAGGCAGACACTCTATCGACTCGCAGCATCCTCGTCTTCTATAGATTGCGTCTGGGTTTACTGGCCCACATCCAGTCCATTATTTCTGCAAGGCCAGGAATCCTGCCAAACTTGGCATTGATCCACAGCCAAGCCCCCCCTCCCTCCCCCTCCCCCAATCCCAGCTCCAAATATTGCAAAGTGATGAGCGCCGCTCCATCCCATAATAGGAAAGCAGAGCCCTCTTTGGATTTGAAGAGGAAGGAGCCCCCTGGGGATGGCCAAGCTCTCCCAGGCAGGATGGCTGGGGAACACCCCGCTTGTTCTCCATGGAGTAGATAATCAAGCAGCATTTTCTCTTTGGCAGAAAAAGCTGAGAGAGGGTCAGCTTCTTGAAGGCAAGCAGAGGAACGTCCTAATTTGCCCCCAGAGGCTGTGGGTGCTCCAACACTGGAGGTTTTTAAGAAGAGACCAGACAGCCACTTGTCTCAAATTGAATATGATCTCCTGCTTGAGCAGGGGGGTGGACTAGAAGACCTCCAAGGTCCCTTCCAACCCTGTTATTCAACAAAGCAGGTAGCATTGTGACAAATGTCTATGGAGATTGTCAGTCATCCAGGTCATGGCTGTCCCAAAGGTGCTTTTTCAAGAGACAACTGGACTTTGCTTTTCATTGAATTCATTTCGCTTCTCATCCAAGAAGCTTCCTCAGTTCTGACTGAATTGTGAGGAATGAAAGGATTTATATTCCTTGCAATCTTCTGGTCATTAGCACTTTTTCTGAGAGTCACTGAGGCCACTTGGAGGTTTGTCTCTGCCCTCAGGGTCATCTGAATAGAACCAGTGGTCCTCTCTGCCCAAGGGATTGTGACAATTAAACACAAAGAGAATAGCTTGTCACAAAAGAAAACCACAAATACGAACTATAGATAAATAAAGATATACCCGGTAATCAAATTATTGCTGGGAAAAGCGCCTTTTGCTGTCATGTATTTACGGTACTTCTGAATAACTGCTTGATTTTCTTATCTCTCTGACCTTGAGCAATTGACTAATAATGAAAAATAATGCATACTGCAGTTAAAATGTTGTCAGAACACTGAAAACTACTAATAGAACAAAATTAAAGACTTCATCCCTGTGCTGTCTCTTAATCTTGGTCTTTTGTATAATTTAACATTTTTAATTTACATATTGTAATTATTTATCTACTTGCCTTTTTATAATCCGTAAGTGGCCCAGAGTCACCGTACAGGGGAGATGGGCGGCAGAAACATTTGAGGAATAAGTAACAGAGCCGCGTACAGCGCCTCGGAAGACTGACGGATAGGAAATCGGAATATGGGGGGGGGGGGGGGCCCCTTCAACTTCACCTAAGCAGCGGGGAGCAGCCCAAAGGCCTCCGGGCGAAGGGGGCGGCCTGGGGAAAGGCCGGCTGGGGGACTCGGGCAGCGAGGACACCCACCGAGCCTCCTTACCCGTTAACTCCGCCGCAGCACTTAATAGGTGACGGAGGAAGTGGGAGAGAGGCGGCTGAGAGAACCGAAGGGCCGAAAGGGAGGAAGGCCGCACAGCCCCCTCCCCCCCCCACGCAAAGGGCACCGGGACCAAAGGGGGGGAGGGGAGGGGGGAGGGGGGAGGGGGCCTCCGCACGTCACTCACCCTCCAGCCGGCGCCTGAGGCGGGCCTCCCGCTCCCCGTCCTCGTCCAGCCCGGCGGCCTTCAGCTTCTTCCAGCTCAGCTCGTCCTTCTCCTGCAGCCGCAGGTCGCTGTGCAGCTCGGCCAGGCGCACCGCCGGCAGCCCCACCTGCCCGCAGGGAGAGACGCAAGGAGGGAGGGAGGGAGGGAGGGAGGCGGCCGCCCCGTCAGTCCCGCCGCCCGCCGCACCGCCTCGCCTCGCCTCGCCTCGCCTCGCCCGCCCGCCCGCCCGGCACTCACGCGCTGCGCCTTCTCCCACAGCTGGTTCAGGCGCACCAGGCGGAACTCGGCGGAGGGCGAGGCGGCGGCGGCGGCGGCCTCGTTGGCCTCCCGCGAGTACAGCCCGCCTCCGCCCGCCTCCGCCTCCGCTCCCGCCAGCAGCAGCAGCAGCAGCACCGGGGCCGCCATGGCGCTCCTCGGACTACGGATCCCAGCAGGCGCCTCGCTCCCTCCCTCCCTCGCGTCGCCGGGAGCAGGCCCCGCCCCTGAGCATGGGCGGAGCCTCGGCGGGCGCGCCACTTCCGGGGAGGGCCGAGCGAGCCGGCGCCCGTCCTTCCGGGGAGGAGGTGGCTCCGCCTCCCCGCAAAGGCTGTCGGGAAACGGGGGCCAGCCTCCCTGGCAGGAGCGGGGGGAGGGATCCCGGAAGAGAGTCGCCGCCGGTGGCGCTTCGGGGCGGGCGGGCGCGGAGGCCGGTGGCCGCGGGAGGAGGAGCCGGGGCTGCCTTGCCTGCCCCGCGTGGAAGGGCTGCGGGCGCCCCGAGCCGCTGCGAGGAAGCGGATGAAATGGACTCGGAGCCCCGCGGCGCCTCCCGGGGATTTGGGGCTGGAAACGGCGCCCCCATCGAGCGAGCGCCCCATCAGCCACAGCCCGCGTGGCCGGCCGCCCTGGTGGAAGCGAGGGGCGGGGGCTGAACGGGCCGGCAGGGGAGCAGCTGCCCCTTAGCCCGAGGCGGCCCTGCGCCAAAACGCGGACGGAGCCAGAGCAAAAATACATTTAATGTGCATTTCAATTGCAGTTACAGTTAAACACAGCGGGTAGAGTCCCCCCCCCCCCGTGCACGGAGCCACCTTCCTCTTCCCACATGAAAAACGAGAATTTGCTGGCACCTTTTTGGGGGGCTCGGAGACCCCCCGGAGCCTCTTCCAGGATGAAGCGCCCTGGGCTCCGGCCGTGGGGGGGGAGGGGGCGCGCCTTTCCTCCCCGCTGCTCTCCCGGTGGGGCTCCAGGGGGAGGGAAGCCGCGGGGTTAGTGGCGGACGGGGCCCTTTTGCCCCCTGCAGCTGCAGCGGGAAAGGCCTGGAACTTGCCCAGGTAGCCAGCCGAGGAGCCCCTCCCGCACCAGGCAGTCGGAGCCGCTCCCATGTGGGGGGCTGCCAGCTTCCGCAGGGAGGTGGGAAAGGAACGGTGCCCAGAAAACTTTCCAGGTGTGGGCAGGCCCTGGCTACCCCAACACCTGGATCTCGGTGAGGAGGGCGGCTCTCCACAGGCCAGGGATGACTTGTGGGTCTCGGGGGAGCGGGCGCTGGCTCAACATGTCTGAAGCCAGGCACTTTCTCAGGGGCAGCCCTCCTGCCCCCACCCCAGCCAAAACTCCAGAGGCGCTAATGTTATGGCTGGGTGCGGGAATGGAGGCACTGTCCCCTCAGACAGGCAGGGGGGCACTGGCAGCAGCCTGGCCTTCCTGTGGGGAGCCCCAGACTTCTGAAGCCAGAAGCAGCTGCTGCTTTGCCCCTCTGAGGATGCAAAGGCCTTGAGCTTGCAGGGGTGGGGGCTGTTCTGCCTCTCTCCAGAAATGATCTTCCAGTGTAGTGTGTGCATATTGGGAGGGGGGGCGGCGCAAGGGAAGGGCATGGTGGGGGAGCCTCGTGAACTGGGGGGAGGAAGACTCCTCTTCTGCATCATCCCTGGGCATCCAGGCAGGTAGGCACGTGACAGTCTCCCCTCCCTTGGCACCAGAGGCCCTGGGCCAAGAGTGGAGGGGTCCATAGTTGGCACAGAGTCCAGAGCAAGAGTGGTCTGGCTTGGGGGGAGGCTCTCATCTTGGCCACCCGTCTGTCTGAAGTCCCCTAGGCCACCGCCCTGCATCAGCTGGTGCAGACACTGGTGATGGAAACGCCAGTGCCAGCATTGCCCGGGTCCACCAGGCCGAGCTCCTCCTGCTCGTTGATGCAGAGCTGGTAGCCGCAGCCCTTCCGGCGAGGCAGGGGTCCCGCCAGCTCAGATGCCTCCGCCTTGGCCTGGGGTGGCAGCAAGAAGCCCACACTGCCAGCAATCAGCATGTGCCAGATGCTGTGGATATAGAAGTAGTTCTCCTCCGTCTCCACAAAAGCATAGAGCAGCACGGCCGAGGCAGCAATCAGGGCTCCGGGCAGGAGGCAGAAGGTCCAGCGCTGCCAGGTGGGTGGGTAGCAATGCCGCCGGTGGATGCTGCGAGCCGTCTGCAGGCAGAAGAAGGTTGGAGCCAGTCCAGGGGGCAGCCTGGCCAAGGAGTGGCTGCTCGTGCATGTCGCCCATTCTGCGGAGCTCCAGCCACCCCCGCCCTGCCACAGGAGGGAGTACAATACTGGCCACAATACTTGCTGAAAATCAAGTCCTCCTGCCACCCACCCACCCACCCCCATGTTTGAGGGAGCAGGCGTGGGCAGCCTGGCTTGGAGGGAGACTCTGGTGTCCTGGGCTCAGCCTCTCTTCTGCAGGGCATAGAGGGGGCTGCTCCCCCAAAGTCAGGCTGCCTCTTGAAGGAGCTCTCCGATTCACTGAAGGTGTCCGAGGCCCTTGCCGAGTGTCCAAAGGCCTGTCCATCTGGAAGCCCCACAGCGAGGCTGGGCAGCTGAGCCTCTGGGCCAAGCAGCCCAGCTGGGGACCCAGGGGAGGGGAGGGAGGCCCGGGGTCCTTACCCAAGCGATGGCCATGACGCCCACAGCGAAGAGGCTGGGCCCCAGCAGGTTCCAGAGGCCGTGGCGGTCCAGCTGCAGGGCCATGGAGAGGAGCATGGCTCCCAGCAGGTACAGCACCTGCTCAGGGGAAGCAGAGGGAGTCACTCTTATGGTCAGTCTGCTGGCTCAGAAGCACCGCCTCAGGAGAGCCGGGCAGAATGGCCCCCGTGCCCTCAGCTGTCCCCAGATCAGCCTGCCTCCCCAGCCCTCCCTGCAGCAGAAGGGTCAGCCCAGCAGGCGAGCCCTGAGCCCTACAGGTGGCTGGCAGCAGCACCCCTGCCCTGGCGCTGCCTTGCTGGCATGCCAGGCTCACCACTCCTCCTCCTTCCCCACAGGTCCTGAGCCTGGTGGATGCTGGAGCTCTCCTGGAAGGGGAGGAGGGCCCCACAGCCCCTTCCCCTTCTGACCCAGAGAAGCAGACGGGGTCTATTCCCCACACTGGCACAACAGCGCAGGGAGAGGGAGCTTGCCCTGGGGCGTTCGTTTACTCTCGGGGCTGGGTGGGTGAGATTATGACAATTTCTTGCCTTTCTTATGTGAGCCAGGGCAGCAGCCATAGTGATCCCTCTTTCCCACACAACAACCCTGTGAGGGAGGCTGGACCAAGAAGGGCCGTTGACCCGTTCCGGGAAGCGGTCTCTGACCTACCGGCTGAGTCCCTTGGACTCGGATCCTTTGCCAAGCTGGTCCCTATTTCCTATTTCCTTGGCCGAGGCATTGTCCTGCAGGGCACTGCGTAGCCTCTGTTATGCTCTCTGGTTCCTGCCCAGAATCTGCCAGGATTGGCTCACTGCGATACACCCTGGGGAGGAGTGGGGCTGCTGCCGCCCCGGGCACTCTATGGTCCTGCTCGCCATCTCCCTGCCCAGGGCGTGTGGTGCTCTACCAGCCCGACTCCCAGGGCCCCGCCTGCTTCCAGCCCGGACTCCCAGCTGCTCCTTTGAGCAGCCCTACCCCCTTCCTTCTCACTACCTGTTTGATGACGGGCTGCAGGCGGGCCATGGCGATGACGGTGACCCAGACGGACATGAGGGAGCCCAAGAAGTCACAGAACTGCAGGACGTCGTAGTCCATGATGCAGAAGACCACAATGCCCGGCTGGTCACACGCATGGTAGAACTGGCAGAGGCAGAAAGGATCACTCCATCAGGAGTGGGACTGATCGCTTGCCCCCACCCGGGCCAGCCCCTCCAGCAACCCGGCTTCTCCTCACCCTGGAACCTGGCCAGTTGGCCTTGCCCTTGGGGGCTCCCTTCCAGTGGAGACCCCCAGAGACTACATGAAGCAGGGGGCTCCGTCTGAGGGAGGGGCTGAGGGAGCAGCTGAGTGACCTCTTGCGGCAGGCAGGGGGGAGATAGAGCCACCCTCCCCAGGACTCAGAGTTGGACCAGAGGGGAGAAGGAGGCTCTTCTGGCATGCCGGGCTGCTGGACCGGCCATTGTGGCTACTGTGGGAGGGGGGGCTGGAGAGGCTTTTCGCTTTGCCAGTAAGAGCCAAGTCTTTGGCCCAGAGGACTACAGGGCTCCTTCAGGGCTCATTCAACTAAGGGGGTCAACAGGAATTAGAAACCGGGTGGGGGACCCCCCCCCTCCTTCCACCCAGGAGGCTGAGTGGCTGGCCAATCCCCGTCTTAAAGCCACTGGGGCAGAAAACCAAGTTAGAGAAGTTTGCACATCAGAGCAGGCAGCACCAGGGCCACTCAGAACCTTCTGCCCCCCCCCCCGAGTGACCGCAAACTGCAGGTGAGCCCCTTGCACCTTCCTGCCCTCCCCCTCCCTCCTGTCCTGTCTCAGGGGGGCATCCCTGGCAGCCCTCACCGTGGAGAAGAACATGGTGAATATGTAGACGGCTGCCTCCAGCAGGTAGCCGGTCCGCACCGCAATGGCCACTGGGGGGATGAACATGAGATTGCTCAGGCACAGGAGGAGGGTGGAGAGCAGCTGGAAGCCGTAGGAGAAGGCGGCCGCATTGTCGGTGCAGCCCCAGCCGCTCCAGCCTGCGGGCAAGAACTGGCATCAGGGACGGCCCCAAGAGAGTGCGCTCTCCCCACCGTATTTCAAAGCCCATCCCCAGGGACTCTCTGGTGGGGGCCTCCCTCCCCCCCAAAGCTAGGTGTGACCAGGCAGTAGGGGCTGGCAGTTGTCAGAAGAGCAGCAGCCCTGGAGACAGGGCAAGGTGGGAATGGAACCCCTCTCCCCCCAGACAGCATCTGGGGGCCAGGCCAATCCACTGCCCACTCACCCGCTTTGCACTCGCAGGCTGCATACAGGTAGTTGTTGGTGCGCAGAAGCTTGCACTGGCCGTAGGGGCCGCAGTCGTTTATGCAGGGCGAGAGGAAGGCACGCAAGTACACTTCAGCGGTCACGTTCCCACAGGACGAAGACCTGCAGGGAAGGAGGGGGGCTGGGTCGGGAGGGAGCGCCCTGGCAGCATCCCACCTGCCGCTTGAGGCCAGGCACCTGGGCCCATGTGCCCAGAGGGAGAACGCCCGGCCAGGCAGTGGACAAAGAGCCAAGCTTGAGTTCTGGCGCTGGGGGTGGTGGGGGGGCAGGACACAAGCAGCTAGCTGGGGGGATCCAGATCTCTTCTTCCAGGGGTGTGAGTGTGGGGTATGTGTCACCCAAGAACTGCCAGACCTCCTACTGATGGGAGCAAGAAAGGGGCCTCTTTGGGTAACAAGGAGCTGCCTTTGTTGTTTCTAGTTTGTTTGAAGTATGAAGAAATTGTGTGGAATACAGAACTTGTAGAATTGTATAGGAAAGTGAACTGTAGTAATTCAAAAACTCATTATAATGGCAAAACCACACCTCTTGAATATTCAGTTAGTTATTAACAAGCAATGCTAAAAGTATTATGGGGTAATACATGTTACATGGTACATGTATAGCTTCTGGGCATACTCTCTAGATGTTTGATGGTTGAAATGGTGCCGACCAACTGAAAAACACATTCCAAGCCTAATATGTTTAAAGTGTATATAAAGTTATTTTTTCCCCTTTCCACCTTCTACTTGAGGGAAACCTATCCTTTGCTTATGCGTAAATAAAAGATATTAGTCTACTTTTCTGGTTGGGATGCTATTTTGACCCAGTAAGAGTCTTGGCACACTGAGCTAAGACCCTTACTATGGGAGAGCTCCCAGCTGCTTCTGCGGGCATCACATGGCTGCCTCCTGCTAGACGAGGGCATCGGGTGCTTCCCCCACAGCTGAACCCCTCCCTGGCAGCCCCACAGAGAGGCCCATAGGAGCTGGGGAGCCTCCCACTCTGTCACAACACCGATATCATAGTGGGGCGTTCTGGAAAGTTTCTATGATGTGGATTCCGTCACTCCTTCTAAGCAGGCCATGTCTTCTCAAAACATTTAGCTGGGCATTTTGACAGGGGGATCACCCTTCACTCAAAGTGGCACAACATAAATGGCAAAGAGAAAAATTAACCTCTCACATTGTCTCTCCTCTACTGAGCGCAGTTTTCTCCCAGCTGCCGGGCATGATTGAGGCCCTCCCAGCCGGTGGAAAAGAGAAACAACTGCTTTCCAAAGGGGAGGTTTTCCCAGACAGGGAGGGTTCTTCACCACCAGCTCCGGGCATGGACTGGGACCACCCCAAGCAGCAGGCACGGGGGCAACTCAGGCCAACTAGGCTTGCCTTCTCTGTTTTCTGCTGCTTCTTGGGAGATGCCCCGCCAGGCTGCCCTACCTTTGGTCCGTGGTGCAGAGCGAGCGCAGACTCAGGTACCAGCTCCCCGTCTGGGGGTAGGGGATCCGCAGTCGGGTGAAGGGGGAGGCGGCGTTGATGGACAGCAGGAACCCAGCCAGCAGCTCTGCCAAGGAGAACCAGCGGCTGAGGGCAGCTTGCCTGCCATGCGAGGGCTGCCCTTCTGGTTGTGCAGCAAAGCCCCCCTGCAAGGAGAGTCCTCGCTGGTCTCTGTAGATGGGGGTGGTGGTGGTTCTGACTTTACCTGTCTGGCAGGTCACTGAGGAGTCCCCTTCTGAGGCCAAAGGCACCTCGTGGTTCAAGCACGCAAAGACGGTGGCATTCTCCCCGTGCAGAGAAGACTAAAGGAAGAGAGACGAGGCTGCATCATCACCACAAACATTTCCATGTCTCCCCTCGTTCCCACATTCAGTTCTGCCCCCTTGCTGCCTCGGGGCTCCCCTTTGGGGCAGAGGGTGGTCGGAAGAAGTCAGTCACGGAGGCTGTCTCTCCACTCCCGCCTGCACCTGGGCACTGGGCTCCCACCCCCTGGCCACCCTTCTGTGCCCCACAGCCACTGACCACTGTTGAGAACCCCCCCGGACCTGCCAAAAGGACGCACCACATTCAGCTTCAGCTCCAGGTTGAGGATCCCTCCGCTGTCCAGCACGGGCAGGAGATTGATGGCAAAGACGGCTGGCCGGTCAGGGGGCACTGACACGTTGGGCCCGAAGAAGATGTAGAAGTGCACCGAGAAGGTGTCCAGCTCGTTGCGCAGAGTTGGCCGGGTGGGCCAGCAGTGCTCCCCACCTCTGGGAGGCCTGGGGGGCGTGGGGGTGGCTGGGGGCTGGAAGCTGCTGGGGAGGGAGGGGGACAGGAGGTCCGCCAGGGCCAGCCCTCCTGGGGAGCCGAAGGAGTGAGGCATGTTCAAGTGGGAGGCAGGTAGCTGGGCTTCCCCCAGGCCAGTCCGGGAGCAGTCTGTAAAGACAGGAAGGGGGGCATTTGGATCGTGGCCCACCCAGCAGCCCCTCATTCCAGCAGCCCTCCCGCCCTCAATAGGACAGCCTCCTTCATTCTCCAGGAGACCCTCTTTGGGTCAGGGTCTCTGGACAGGGCCATCTTAACAGCATTATGGGCCCCTGGCAAAGCAGTGTACTGGGGCCCTTACAACAACTACTCACAGGAACAAAAGTGAAAATGGTCAATAAAATTAAACATATATTTGCATGTTAGTATTAATTTAAAAATGCAGTAAAATCTAATAAATATGTTGCTGTATTTATATGATACAAGGTGATTGAAGAGCTAACATTCACAGATTAATATGGGGCCCCTATGCTCGTGGGACCCCCCAGGCAAGTGCCCATCAGGCCCATGCGTTAAGACAGCCCTGGATCCAGTCCCAGCGGAACCATCTGCCAAGGGGTCCTTTTCACACAAGGGTCAGAGAAGGGAGCCAACTGAGGCCCCTGGGGTCCCCTCCCTCCCCTCATCAGGGACCCCCACCTGAAGCTGCTCTGCCTGACCTGGGAGGTGGGAGATCAAGCGCTTTGCCACTTGGCAGTACCAGAGGAGTAGCACCCCTCCCCCATTGCCCAGGCCTTCTCTGCCCTCTGTAGGACAAAGGCGATCAGCCTCCTCCCCCCACCTTCCCTGGGTTTAATGCCCCCCTCAAGCCCACCTTGGTCTCTATCCCTGACATTCAGCCTGCTACCTGGGGGGGAGCTGGATGGGCCCTAGATGACTTCACATCTGTGTCCTGGGAACCAGGGGAGCTCAGTTTAGGAAATGCATCCCACCAGGTGAGCTTGCTCAGTTCCGTGAAGTCTCCCAAGAGCAATTCTGCGCTGCCCGTTCCATGCCACATCCCCAGGTGCCACTTGAGGCCCGGAGCTGGTGCTTCCTAACCCAGCAGCTCCATCCCTCGTGGGCCCAGCTCACCCTTCAGCTGCACCCCCAGCTGGAAGCTGATCCGGTCAGGCAGCGGCAGAAGCTTCTCCACCAGGATGAAGTACCAGTTTTGCCAGAAGGGGCGCTCCAGCACGAGGCGGCAGGGCAGCTGCTCTCGGCAGTCCACGGCTGTGGAGTTGTGCAGAGGGGGGGCTTTGCCACGCACTTTCAGTCCCAGTGGGCAGCCTGGTGCACTCTGGTTGCCCCTGTGGCAGCTTCGCAACTGCAGGAGCACCCTGGAGGTGTAGCTGGGGACGAAGACCCTGTGGGCAAAGGAAATCTCGTCGCCCCGTATCAAGATGGGCAACTGGTCGTCTTGGCTGCCCCTCCCAGAGGTGGCCCAGGACAGGCAGGCCAATCTTTCAGCCAGCCTTTTCTGCATGTTGGGAGCACTGGGGGAAGGGAGAGCTCCCTCTTCTTTGACCTTCATTCGTTCCAAAGCCCCTGCCCCCCCCACCAATGATGTCATGACTTTCCCAGCATGCCTCTTGCTGCCAACAAAGTGGACCCTGGACCCAAAACGGTTGTCTTTCCAGGTGACCATTTTTTAACTGGGAGCCAGGTGTGAACCTGATGCCCTGGCTGGGTCTGTGGGGGCATCACTGGGGACCCCCGGCTAGATCAGTGGGGGCCTCCTTCATTCAAACTTCTTGGCAACATCCCCCAAGACCCCTCAGCCAGAGGCACATGGGGAAGAGTTGAAGGAGGAGGTTTTGTGGGGTGGGAAGGAGCAGATCCTGCAATCCTTTCTCTGCAGGAAAGGTGTGTTTTCTATCAACCACCTCACGGAGGCTTCCCTCCCACTTTCCTGGTCCCCTCGTGAGATTTTATGCTACCTTGGAAACACCTGGGACACCTCATTGTTCCCTTGTGCACCCGTCCGAATGCCTGCTTCCCACACCACGAGAGAAGCCCCGTTCCTTGGCCATGACACTTACTTGTACAGCAGGGACCGATTGTGGGGGGAGAGGACGTGCTCAGTCTCATAGCCTGGGTGCAGCACCGCAATGCCCACCAGGCGCTGGACGATGAGCTGCGGCTGGAAGAGATACTGGCAGTCCTCTGCAAGTCCCTGTGGGGGGAAGGGGGCCCTGTCAGAAGACCCCAGCCAAGTCCAACTCTCCCCCATCCGTATGCCCAGCCTTGCAAGATGGCCTGAAGCTGCTGCATGGGCCTCACCTAAGAGTCAGGGGCCGGTGGCTGCCCTTGAGATAGGTGTGATGCAAATGCCCTCCTTGTGCCTTCTCTCCACACAAGGAACCCCTTATGTAATCTCTGCATCATCCCCCTCCTCAAATCCCCCCCTCCAGGGCAGAACTGCCTCCCATTCCCCACCCTAACCCTTCATTCTGGGCTGTCTCCATGGAGGAGCAAACTGAGTGGGTCAGGGAGCTCACCCATATGCCAACTGCCCCTGCCCCAACCAAGGCTTCTTCCCTCAGAAGTCCAGACACCCCAGCAGTCTCCTGGGCCTTCTCCCTCTCCAGGCATTTTTTATGGAGGGGTTACAAGCATCATATCTTCTTTGGCCTTTTTCGTTCCATGGTGTCATGAACTGGGCCACAACCTCCATCATCTCTGCCTTGTGTAGATGATTACCTGCCCTTGCTCTCTCCCTGGGACTGGCTCTCCCAGATCCTCCAGGGATCTGCCCTCCTGCAGCCCGCACTCACCTTGACAGAGATCTTGCCCTGCTCTTTGGGCAAATGGGCAGCCAGGAACCAGTCCCCGGGCAGGGGGCTGGTGATGTTGAAGACTCCGGTGGTCCGGTTGGGTAGCGTCCAAGTGAGCGTGAGGGCAAAGGAGCCAGGCACGGCTGTGTCCCTGGGGAAGTGCATGCCCAGCGGGTTAATGACTGGTGGCGCTCCTGAGCGAAAATACCTGCTCAGAGAGAAAAGGTGAGAGTTGGAGGCAGGAGAGCCCGGGCACTGAGTTGGGGGAGGGCTGGCCTGGTGGGAACGGACTGCAAGAGGAGGAGGGAGCTGGAGAGTTCACATTTCTCTGCCAGGATGGGAAGCCAGCCCTCTGCTTTGGGCCTGGAAAGCTTCCCCTTCCCTATCCTGGCACCTCATAAGGGTTCTGCCACCCTTTAATCGGCCCCAAAATTAACAAAACCAAACATCCAGCTCCCTCCCCTCAGCGCAAACTTCCGTTTGCAGAGTCTTCGTAAACTCGGGGCCTAAAGCTTTGGGCGGCCTGCGAATCCCGCAGGGGCCCGGCCATTCCCCCGAGGGCATGGGGCCGGTTAAAGGTTGAAGAGCTCCCGGACAGAAACGGGAGCGTTACAACGCCGAGAAACGAAACCGGGAGGCCCCGCAGCCGGACTAAGACCCCCGCCTCGACTCACACGGTGATGCTCCGGTCCGGGCATCGGTCCCCGAGGCTGCCGCCCTGCTCTTTGAAGGTGACCAGGTTCCAGACGGCCACCGCCGTGTCCTCCGGGATGCGGAAATGGAAGAGCTCTAGGCTGGTGAAGGAGCGGAAGGCATTCAGCTTGCGGGGCGTCCGGGTGAAGTAGTCGGTCACGAACAGCCCAGCTGGGGAAAGAGAGGCAGGGCGGAGGGCGGTCGGAGGCTGCTAGGCAGGGCAGGGGAGCAAAGCCAGCCCAAGCCGCGAGGGGGCAGCTGGTTCCCCAAAGGGCCGGCCACCCATCCCGCAGACCTGGAAAGCCTCTGGCGGCTGAAGGACAGTGAGCCGCGGGCCGAAGATGCGGTTAGGCGCTTTTCTCACCCGCCCTCTCCGCCTCTGCGAAACGGGTTTGCAGCGCTTCCAAGGCGAACCAGCAGAAAGTTCTGTGCGGAGAAGACTCCGCCCCAGAAGGCTCAGCTGGCCTAAGATCAGAGAAGCTCCCCCGCCCTCAAAGCAGATGTACCCTTCCCCATAAGGATCGTCTGGGCCTGCCTTCTAGAAGAGGTTCCGGTGCCCTTCCGCACCGTATTTGCAGCAAGAGGATCCTGGAACTGGCCTTTCCGAGGACGCCTAGCAGCCTCTAGTCCAGCTGCAAGGACAGTGGTGCCCGCCTGGCCTGCCATCTTCTGAGCTGGCCAAGCACTTACTCAACTCCTGTCAGCTGTCTATTCCCCTCCCCACTCAGCAACCCTCCACCCACAACACTCTGGCTGCCCCAGATTATCTGGGTGGAAAGCAGGGCCTGTTCCTTTCTGACAGGGAGAGCAGGCAGAAGATGGGAAGGGCTGCTCCTTGGGTGAGTGGGCATTCTTCACCCTCTGCCAAGACTCAGAGATGGGACCAAGGGCAGAGGCAGCCTACTGGAGATGTGTGTGTGAGCGCATGTACATGCACACCCTGTCTCATGGCAAACTGGAAGAAATCTGTGTAGAGAGCATCACTGGGCAAATCAGTGTGCTAGAGAGGCTACCTTTGTCCGTCTGTGAGATTCTCCATCCGGGAAGCCCAGCCTGTTGCCTCAGGTTTCCCTCTCCCCACTTGGGACCTCACTTCCTGGAGTAGACAAAGGTGCCCTGCTCAGGAGCCCTGCTTCGCAGAGAAGAGTGTTCTGCCTTCTCCGTGCGTTTCTTCCCCATAGGACCCAGTTCCCTTTTGTGCCTGGGTGAAAGCCACAACCAGGATTGTGGTATCTGATTGATACCCCTGGAATTCGGTCTGAAAGCTGCTTCCCTGTAACCGGGATCCATTGCTTTCTGGAGTCAGAGAGAGCAGGCAGGGGCCATCTTCTGTATGGGACTCTGGGGTGAGTTTGTCTGTGGGGCTGGTGGTGGCTTTTCAGCTGTGTTTTAATGACTGGATTTGGTCTGGGGTGGGGAGTTGTTTATGGTTTAGCTTACTATTGCAAGCCAGTCAGAGTTTGTTGGAGAGGATGGCTATAATAAATGTAAACAGTGTATAAATGTAATAGTGAAATGGTTATTTTATTCCCCCCTTGTCCTTTTTCAAGGTCAAACATGCCCAGCTTATTCAGGGAATCCCCCTTCAGGCCTCCTCCCAGGACTCTAGCTGTGGACATTCGCCTCCAAGGTGCTCTTACCAATCGTCCCAGGGGGAAGCTCCATTAGGCCTCCTCCTTCTCGGTGGTTGGAGTCTTTCATGGACTGAAGAGTTCTCTGTTTCAGATAAGTGAGTGGGCTACAAAGAAGGGTGGGCTGCATCTGCAGAGAAAACCCCCTCACAGGTTCCCACCAGGTTAGAGGGTTCAGATGTCCTGGGGAAGCTGAAGGGATCATTAACCCTGGAGTCCTTGGTGTGTGTCTGCACACTTGCTTGCTTGCAAATATTTCACAACCCGATTAGGAAACATCATCAGGGCACAGAGCACTGATAATGTGACCTTGCCAGCTCATGAAATGCCTGCAAGCAAACAGCCAAGCACAGAGTGGCAGGAGCCCAGAGTTCAACTCTCAGCTAGGAAGATCTGTGGCTCATTTACACTCAGCCAACGGGAATGAAAGGCAGCCTGTCCTCAGATCGCCTTTGGCTTTCGGCTTCATAAGCCTGGCTTAGACTCACACCCACAACAAGGCTCAGCTACTGTAGGGCGGAAGCCCCCTTAGACAGGCAAAAACAGGCTTCACGGGAAGCCCAAAGCAGCCAGAAGAACTGGGCCTCTCTGTTTCTACTGTTGCTGCCTGGAGCAGCGTTTGATTTATTTACACCTGTCCAGCTCACGGGTCAATCTGAAAAAGAGACAGCACTCAAATAATATAGACAGAACTAGCTGGCTGGCTAGCTGGAGTGTCATGTATATGAATAGCTAAAACCAGGCTAACAAAATCCCGTTCTGATAGTCATACAACATCCGTGGGCTTTGCAAAGAGAAGGATTCTGACGTAATCGGAGGGCCTGGCTCACACCAGGCAGTGGCTGGATTCCCACGAGATGCTGAACCACAAACTCCCCAATGCCATTTTAACCTGAAAGGAAGAAATGAGAGACACACACAGAGCAACCAGGCATGAATTTTAAGTTCAGTGTTGCAATGTGCCCTGACAGGGAGACAGCCTGGTCCTGAATTCTGAAGGGTCATTCAGGCCTGGCTGGTGCTGTCATCAGTTTTAGCCTCAAGAACATTTGGGACATGGGAAGTCTGTCCATGCCTGATGGGGAGTGGGGAGAAGCACAGGCAAGGAGGTGCTGGGGTACTAGAGGGCTCCCCCTTCCACTCCCAGCCATCAACCAAGGCATGGAACAGTTACGCCACCGACATCACTTCTCAAGGTGCTCCTCCTTTCTTAGGTGCTCTAGAAGAAGCACAGAATAATGGAATATCCTGCACATAGGCTGGAAGGGAAGCACAGAACATAGAATCCTAGGCAGGAAGGGGCCTCAGAGGTCTTCTAATTTAGTCCAACCCTCTGCTCAAGGCAGGAGGCCCTATACTATCCCAGTCAAAAGGTTGTCCAGTCTATTTCTGAAAACTTCCAGCGATGGAAAAGCCACAACTCTGGGAGGCAAACTATTCCATATTTCTCCTTACTACTAAGTTGGATCTCTCTTTAACAAGCTTCTACCCATTACTTCTTATCCTGCCCTCTGGTGCTCTGGAGAATAAGTCAATCCCTTCTCCTTTGTGACAGACCCTCAAGTACCAGAAGATGGCTATCACGTCACCACTAGTCCTTCTCTTTGATAAGCTAGACATACCTAGCTCCCTCAACCATTCATCGTATGATCTACTGTCTAGATCAGTGATGGCTAACCTTTTTGCTATCATGGCACATGGTGGGCCCAGTAGGCCCATTTTTCGCCCTCCCCAGACTCCAGAGGCTTTCTTGGAGCCTGGGGAGGGCGAAAACAGCCTTCCCCATCCCCCCAGAGGCCCTCCGGAGACCGGAAACCTCCCATTTGCTAACTTCCGGTGGGACTGGAAGGCCTGTTCTTCACTCTCTCCAGGCTCCAGAACCTTTCTAGGAGCCTGGGGAGGGCGAAAATGGCCTTCCCCACCCCCCTGGAGGCCCTCTGGAGGCCGGAAATAGCCTGTTTCCCAACTTCCAGTGGGCCCAGAAGCCCCAAAAATCAGCTGAGCTAGGGTAACGCTTGCATGCCCACCGATATGGCTCCATGTGCCACTTATGGTATGTGTGCCATAGGTTTGCCATCATCTTTGTTGCTCTTCTCTGCACACTTTTTAGGGTCTCGACATCCTTTTTTGTATCATGGTGACCAGAACTGTATGGAGTCCTCCAAGTGTGGCCTCACCAGTGCAGTATAGAGTGGTACTATAATTTCTCATGTTCTTGATGCTATCCTTCTATTGATGCATCCCAGGACTGCATTGGCTTTTTTGGCAGCTGCAGCACATGGCTGGATCATACTGAAGTGGTGGTCCACCGGGACACCTATATCCCTCTCAGTTACTACTGTCGACCCAGGTACCTTCTATACTTATGCATTTCATTTTTCTGCCTAAGTCTTTTCTCACCGTTGAACTGTGTCTTGTTGGATAGGACCCAACGCTCCTTCTGGATTTTGACTCTGTCATCAAAAGTGTTAGCAATTTCCCCTGGCTTGGTGTCAACTGCAAAATTTGCTGAGTTTCAATCTCCTCATCTAGATCACTTGTTAAGATGTGGAAGAGTCCTGGGCCTGAGACAGAGCCTTAGGTTACCCCACTCCATACTCCCCTCCATCTAGATGCAGTCAGCCAGTTGGTTAACCAGTTGGTCAGCCAATTACAAATCCATCTGGTGATGATGCTGTCTATCCCACATTGTTCTATCTTGCCAAGAAGTAGGCGATGGTCTATTTTATCAAATGCGTTACTGGAGCCCAAATATACTTTGCCACAGTATTTTGCTGGTCCATTAATTTAGTCAATCAAAAAAGGATATAAGATTTGTCTGGCATGATCCATTTTTAAGAAACCCATGCTGGCTACTAGCAGGCTGAGTCCTTCAGAGATGCATGTCTGTAATGGCTGCATAGAAGCTGAGAAGGGAAAGGGGGGGGGGCAAATCAGGGCCCAATCCATGACATCAGATCCATGACATCTTGATTTGGCCTCAGGGTTGCCTTTCAGTTTGAGCAGTCTAGGAACTTTCAATGTGGAGTTTGAAATGCTCCCATCCCCCATGTCTTTTCCAGGAAACAAGTCAGAGAGCTTCAGTTAGACAAACACAAGTAAAATGTGCTCTGGTGGGGAGCTTGTGCATTCAATATCCTCAGAGAGAACAAAAAGCTGATGCATAAATTAGGACAATCCCCAAAGCCTGCAAGTTTCCTAAACCACCAAAACAGCACCAAAAACTATCTAGGGTCATAAGGAAGATGGAAGTGGGGCTTCCTCCTGAAGAAGGGGGCTTTTCCTGAAGAACCTCCATGGCCTGCAGACCCATCAGTCACATCCTTTGGAAGGTGTGTTTGGAAGGGTGCTGTAGCCAAGGGCACATGGCAAGAAATGTGAGCAGCCCTGCCATGAAACAATATTTGCAAGTTCAAAGAAGATCAGAGAATATTCCTTCACCTGAAAATGAGCTCCCTTATGAAAGCCATCAACTACCAGGTCATTAAAAGTCCTGAGAGCTGGCAGGCAGTGGTTCCACAGGAAAGGCGGCCCTTGCCATTGGTTGGCAGACAGGCAGGTACCTCTCTCTCCCTCTCCCCCTCTCTCTGTGGAGGATAGGAAAAAGTAAGACTCCTGGCCTCTGAAGCTGAAGACAAGGAGGGCAGGGCCAAAGGGGAATGGTGCCCCCTGGGGTACCAGACGCTGCCTGAGGACCAGGGACTGTATTCAGGCACCCTGGGTGGAAAGGCACGGGGCCTCCTTGTCCTCCTTTAAGGGCCTGCTCCACGGCTCTTTGGGCTCAGAGGAGCGGTTCCCACTCTCAACACCCACTCCGCTGCCCTTCCCCAGCTGCTTCCCGCCCTTTCCCTGTTAGCCCCGCAGGGTCTTTGGCCGGACCGCCATAGGGCTGGAAGGAAACTCCGCCTGCAGGCGCAGGGCCGCTGGGAGGCAAGATGGCCAGCCCGTTCCAGAAAGGCGCGGGATCTCCGGCGAAGCTGGGCGGAAGATGCTCTCCCAGCCTCTCCGCGCCGGCGCGGCTTGCGTTCAGCACCGCGGCGAGGGAGAGCTCCGAGCTCCTGGCGAAGGGCTCCGGGCGGCTCCTTCAGCACCAGGCGCCCCGGACAGCTCCCGTCAGGCCCGCTCCCCCCGCCCGCCCCCCGCGCACTCACCGGCCGGCGGGCGCAGGCTGAGCCCGGCGAGCAGCTGCAGCAGCAGCAGCTGGAGCTGCCCGAGCGCCGCGCCGCCCATACCGAGACGTCCGCTCCGGGACGGGCCGCCGCGCTCGGGCTCCCGCAGAAGTGGCCGCAGCCATGACGTCGTCGGGGCCAGCTGCCGCCCGGGTGCCGCGCCTTCCCGATTGGCCCGGCGCGAGAGGCTGTCCGGGGAGGCCGCGGGTGCCCATTGGCTGGCACAGCCGTCGCTCACTCACCCACGGAGCAGGAAGGCTCCGCCCCCGCCACGGCCTGGGGGCCGCCGCGCCGACCGGCTGTGCGCTTGCCCGGCGTGGAGGCGGCGGCGCAAGACGCAGGCCCGGAGAGCCGCGATTTGATCAGCGCCGAGCCCTTGGCGCCCGGAGCGGCGGAGCCTCGGAAGAAGGAGCGGGCCGGCTCAGGAGCGTGGAGGTTGCCTTCCGGCCTCCGGAGGGCCCTGGCAGGGAAGCGGCCACAGCGGGGGCGCAGCAGGCCTGGGGAATGCCCGTGGGTACCTTAGGCAGTTTAAATCCCCATCTCCAGAAGGGGGGAGTCTCCCTCAGCAAGGGATTCCCTGAAGGGGTTCAGGCAGCCTTGAGACTTTCCTTGGCGGACTTTCACTTCGTATTCACCACTGCTGGCCGTGTGGACCTCAGCCACATTCTTCCCGCATCACATTGACTGCAACCCATCTGATGTTTTAGCATAAACGGTGACCTAATGCCTAATGCCATGATTCCGTCAATCACACTGCCTCGATGGACAGCAGAGAAACACGGATTTTGTGTTGTTGGCAAGGAAACTGTCCTATTTTATCACCACAGTCTTCCCAGTCTGAGGAGGGAAGCTTCCATCTCCAGTATCAATCTTATTGTGAGTAAATTAGTGGACCAAGAAAATGCTGTTAGTAGAGTATATTTAGATTTTTGATGAAGTAGAGCACAGCCTGGGAGCCAATCTAGCTCAGTTACCGGGACCAGAGGTTTGGTCTTCCGAGCTTCCTGGAGCCCATCCTTGGAGAACTTCTCTTACCAACTTCTTGGTAAAATAGAACAAGGCGGGACAGAGAGTACAACCACCAGATGACTCTGCAATTGACTGACCAGCTGCACTCAGCCTGTGGCCCTGAATGGAACTGCATCTACCTGGAGTAGGGCTCTTCAATTGGCCCAGTGCTCTTTAGCATCTTCATCAATGACTTAGATCAGGGGTCTCCAGCCTGTGGGCCATGAGGGGATTGCATTGCAACCAGGCCTTGGCTGGCAAGCGTGTGTGCACATCCTCACTTGTGTGACCAGCAGGCAAGCACATGTGTGTGCACTCCATTTGCATGAGTGGCAGGTGTGCGTGCATGCCGCTCACACAAATGAAGTTGTGTGCACATGCACACTGCTCACCAGTTACTTCCCCTCCCCCCCACCAATCCTCAAAGCCAGAAACATTGGGAAATTCTGATTTACAGTAGATTAAGGGATTGAAGGGAAGCTCATCAAATTTGCTGTTGACAGCAAGTTTGGGTTCCAACACTTTGGAACATAGGCTCATGATCCAGAAAGATCTTGGCAAACTTGGGCATTGGGCTCCATCCCACAAGATGCAGTTCAGTGGTGAGAATAGCACAGTGGCAGAAAAAACACATGAATGCTGGAATGAGAGGTTTGAAGATTCTTCATCCAGTGAGTTTATCTTCAACTCTGAACAAAAGAACAATTACAAGCCCAAGAAATAAAAGAATTTGAAATAAACAGTAAAAATCTAAGATTTTCATTTAAGTTATAAATGGATTAAGAATCCAGATAAATTTGGAATATTGACTATTACTACTACTAAATTTTGGAATTTGTTACAAAAAGTAAACAATTCTCATTGGGAAATAGACTTATGTTGGTTATCCTGGCAATTGCTTTTGTTGTAAGTGATGATTTTGGAAACCGGACACTAGAGGGGACTAAGGATTCTAAGCAGAAGGGGAAAAAATACAAATCTGAGATCAGGATATACAGGATGATACAAAATGTTATAACAATATTTGAAAATATTTGAAATATTCTTCAAATTTTTGAAAAAATGGAGCCAGAAGTTGGTAACTACTACAATTATCAACAGTGTCAGTAATGACGTCTGTTTGTGGGGTCACTGGTCCTCTTTGAGCTTGTTTGATTTCTTGCAGACATTTCATTACCCAAACTAGGAAGCATCATCGGTGCTGGAAAGGAAGAAGCTTTGCTCTCTGTTTATATGCTGGGGGTTTGCCCTGCGCTGGTGGGAGGATTCTTGGTGGTTCCTTGATTGGGCTGCTTGCTAATCTTGCTAATGCTTTCTGCTTGATTGTTTGTCTGAGTTGGTAGTTCCTTGATTGGTGTATTGTTTATATCTTGACTGCTGGCCTAATGTTAATCTTAATGCTACTCTCTGCTCATCTGGGTGTTGATTGCTGGTAGGGAGGTATTTGGGTCTCTTTTTTTTTCCTTTTGTGGCTTTTTGATTGTGTTTTCTGAATGGTATGTAGATGCTGTTTATCTGTACGTACCATATGATGAATGATTGAGGGAGCCAGATATGTCTAGTCTAACAAAGAGAAGGACTGTGATATTGCAGTACTTGAGGGGCTGTCACAGAGAAGAGAGGGTCAACTTATTTTCAAAAGCATCTGAAGGCAGGACAAGAAGTAATATGTGGAAATGTATCAAAGAGAGAAGCAGCCTGGAAATAAGGAGAAATTTCCTGGCAGTGAGAACAACTAACCAGTCAAACAGTTCTCTTCCAGAGGTTGTGGGTGCACCATCACTGGAGGTTTTCAAGAAGAGACTAGACAGCCACTTGTCTGAAATGGTATAGGGTTTCCTGCTTGAGCAAGGGGGCTGGACTAGAAGACCTCCAAGATCCCTTCCAACCCTGTTATTCTATGTTCTATGTGCCTATTGGTGGCCAATTTGTCAGAGTGCCAGACTTCCAGGGATTCTCTAATGTTCTTGGACTTGGCTTGGTCTAGGATGCTCACAGTTTCCTAGTTGAAACAATGTTTAAGTCTGTCCATGTGTTGTGAAATTATGGAGTTTCCATCATGTCTTCTGATGCTGGTTAGTGTTCGTGGATGTGCTCTGCCAGTCTTCTGTCTGCTTATCCTAGATAATGGCCTTTGTAGTCCTTTCACTTTATGTTGCAGATGACTCCCGTTTTTTCTTCTGGGGCTGCTGGGGCTTTTGGTTTACTTTGGATGATTTGAAGGGCATTTATTGGTTTGCGTGCTACGCTGATTCCATGAGAGGTTGTGATGGTCTGTTGGTGATTTCTGAGATGTTTTTGACGTATGGCTGTGTAGCCCTTTTTACGGCTTGTATTGGTTGTGCTAAATTGGGTTCAGTGGACAGGGACTTTCTGGTAAAGTTGTGTGGGTATCCATTGTGTGGGAAAATGTTGAATACATGATCTGGGAAACTGTGAACATCCTAGATCAAGCCAAATATAAATAGTCTCTTCCAATGGTGGCTTCTTTAATGAATAGGCTATGTCTAAAAGATGTAGTTGAAGGAATAGCAATAGCAATACACTTAGACTTATATACCGCTTCATGGTGCTTTACAGCCCTCTCTAAGCGGTTTACACAGTCAGCATCTTGCCCCCAACAATCGGGGTCCTCATTTTACTGACCTCAGAAAGATGGAAGTCAACCTTGAGCTGGTCAGGATCAAACTGCAGGCAGGATTGAACTGCTGGCAGTCTGCAGAGTTAGCCAGCAATACTGCATTCTAACCACTGTGCCACCATGGCTCTTGACAGATATGGAGCAACACATTTTATCGTGAATGAAGGCAAATATAGGTATCCCAGAATAATGTTTCAGGATCCAAACTGAGTCGGTCACTGGGACCAAAAATTTATTCTTCCAAGCTTTCAGGTTTGTGCTGGAGCTCATCCTCAGGGAAATTCTCTCTCTCCAGAATATGTGTACTGGGCTGTTCTATGCATTGTATTTATATGGTTGCTGGTTGTGTATAGTTTTTAGTTGTTAATTTGGGTGTTGATGGCTGGCTGTTAAATTGTTAATTGTTTTCCTTGTGCCTCCTCAGTGGTAGGCTGGTTGTAAATCAGCACTCCTACTCACTGACAAGGGGCCCATTTCCCAAACTTCAAAAATTTCTCTGGCTATTTTTGTCCCTACTTGGCCAACAATTGTAGTAGCTGCGAAATTGAATGCCTGTCCTTGTTCATTGCAATGTGAGGCTACCAATGAGTGTGGGTCTCTTTCTCTGACCGCTCGCTCATGTTCTTGCCATCTAGTAGTTGGCTTCCTCCCCATCTGCCCTACATAGTCAGAGGGGCAACACATGCAGGGAATCTGGTAAATTATATTCACAGTTTCTTCCATCTCCAAACGATCTTTGTAGTGCACGATTTGTCCTTGCATGGTTAGCCCCTGGGTGGTAAGCAATGCCCACTTGCACAGCAGTCCCCAACCTTTCTAGCTCCAGGGACCAGTTTTAAAAAAATTGTCTTCCATGGATCAGTGGCAGCAGCGGTGGCGGGGGTGGTGGCTTCATGTGCGCAACCCACACATGCACAGATGAAGCTTCGCACACTTGCTTGCCACTCCTACAGCCCGCTTCCCAACAGCCCGTGGACCATTGGGGACCCTGCACTTTTGGAAGCTATGTTGTACTGCTTCTGAAATGTATGGCAGGGTGCACCATATAGTTGTTTTGACCTTCTTTCTCCTTTCCTCTCCCCAGCATATTGTGTAGACATCTTGTGATAAATGCTTGTGGGCACCAATTCTGCCTGAATTATTCACGTGGGTACCTGCTCTCCAGCTGTTTTGCTTGCAGGCTACTGCAGTGTGTTGTCACCCTGCCGTATAATGTTCTGACACAACTTTTTATGTGATGGTGATGGTTACTGTTGAAGCTCAGAATACGTGGAGTGTTGGTAGCCTTGCAATAAACTGTGGCTTCTAGGCTTCCATCTTCCTGTCTTTTGATAAGCACATCCAAATCTGGCAATTGTATAGCTGTTTCTTCTTCCACAGTGGCATACAATTCAGAGTGGAAGAAGTAATGGCCAGACAGAGGAAATAGAAAAGGTGAAGCTACAAATGACAGGCCATTCAGAAAAGGATGTCTTACTGGATATTTTGTTTATTTATTAAATTTATATGCTACCCATCTCACTGTCAAGTGATTCAAGGCACTATTCAAAACAACCTGGCTGAAATTTTAAAAACTAAAAAGAAAATACAAATGATAAATCAAGAGAATGATCTGGAAAATAGCAACAGCAATAGCACTTAGACTTATATACTGCTTTACAGTGCTTTACAGCCTCTCTAAGCAGTTTACAGAGTCAGCATATTGTCCCCAACAATTTGGGTCCTCATTTTGCCCACCTCAGAAGGATGGAAGGCTGAGTCAACCTTGAGCCTGGTGAGATTTGAACTGCCAAATTTCAGGCAGAAGTAGAAGTAGCCTGCAGTACTGCATTCTCACCACTGCACCACTGTGGCTCAACGTTTGTTTTTTTAAATTGAATCTACACGAAGGTTTATTTTAATTGAATCTACAAGAAGGTTTATTGTCAGGCCCAAACCCTGACAATTCCCAGATTGCTGAGAAGATGATGGGGGCCTTGGGATGAAATCCTCAGATATCAAGAACCAGGCATGTTGAGGGAAGAGGTGTCTGAGGGAGGGTGACATGAGAGGAGGGAAGTGGCTGCGTTCCTCGCCTTCTTGCTTGGCTGCTCGGTCACCTCTGCCCTATGAGAACATGGCAAGGGAGCAGAGGGAAGAAGGAGGCAAGGGGGAGCCAGCATGCTGATGTTCTTGGTGGGTCATGGAACAATGAGGAGGAGGAGAAGTGGCCAATCTTTACTCAAGGATCATTAGGTGCTTGGCAAGAAAGGAAGAGATCTTTATACCTTTTGAGGGCAGGGAATCTGAAGGAGCTGATTCCTGGGGATCTTTTGAGCAAGTGAGATAAGGAAAAAGTCTTTGTGAAGTGAAGCTGCTGTGGATTCCACAGTGAAGAGGAGGGGATGCAGAGACCCTCAAGGCTCACATTGATGGGGAGGGAAGAGCTCCCATTTCTTACCTCCCGTTTCTTAGGTGAACTTTTCTTAGGTGAGCACTTTGCATTGTTCTGTTTGGGACAGGACAAAAAGACTATTTTGGCAGCGGAAACAACTGTGTTTGAACTGGGCATTATTCTGGAGCTGGCAAAACATAGAAGAAGAAACCCATCAGGACAAGATTCAGCAGTCCATCTGTATTCAAAAGAGACAGGCCGCTCTTCTGGAGACAGCTGAGTCCACAGTTTGGACAGAGAGAATTGCTGGTTTGAAAGAGGGGTCCAAGAGGCCATCTATGTCGAACCTGAACAGCACTCCCTCGACAGAAGGGGAGGGATACGACACCATCTATCTCCAATCTACAACATGGTCCTTTCAATAGTTCCAAGAAGGCTCCTCCATTTGCACCATTCAGGTGACCCTGAGGACACAGATAAACCTCCAGGTGACCTTAAGGACTCTCTAATTCCCCACCATCCAGTCAGAGTTGAAGAAGCTTCTTGGATGAGAAGCAAAACATCTTCAGAGAAAAACCAGAAAGTCCAGTTGCCTCTTGAAAAAAGCACCTTTGGGACAACCACGATCTGGATGGCTGAGAAGCTCTGTAGACATTTTACAAAAGGGGAGCTCTCTCTCATTCACTCACTCAAAAACCTGTCCCCCCCACACACACACACTTTCGCTCTTTCTCTCCAGAAGCACCTGGATGAAGTGGGAGGAGGTTAAAAAGAAGGGGCGGGGGTGCAGCCATGCAGCGAAGCCTGATCGGCTTATTATTAACCTTGTCATTATGCGGGGGGGGGGGGGCAGGCTGGGAACATCAAAACAAGGTCCCCCGCCTTCTTCTCCAAGAGGCAGCCCACCCCTCAGAGTGCGGATTGGCTGCCCGGATGCGCGCAGCCAAATGGCCCTGGAAAAGTATCCCTCCGTGAAACGGCAGGGATGAAGGGTCGGGGTTTAGAGCGCTGGCGGACCAATGGCGGGAGAGGAGCACCGAGGAGACCCAGCCGAATAAGGATGCCCGTGTTGGGTCAGCCGCGGTGGAGGGCCCGAGAAGAAGTGCCACCCCCGCCCCCCTTGCTGCTGAAGCGCTGGTCTTAAGGGCCAGCGATTTCCCAGAAGCGTCCGTCCCCTCGGGCGGGGATCCTGCCCTTCCCTGCCGCGAGGGGCGTGGGGAGGCGCCAGCTCAATGCGGGGCTTTATAAGGGGCCGTCCCGCCCGGGGCTGGCAAGTCTAGATTCCTGGAGAGCACCATGGCGATAGGCACAGCACTTCTGGGGCTCCTCGCTTTCTTGCTCGGCTGCTCCGGCACCTCTGCCGAACCCCAAAACTCGGAGCGCTCCGCCATGCGGAAGGTAGGATGCGGGGTGGCGGGCAGAGGGTCCCAGCCTCCCTCGTGGAAAGCCCCCGCTACCAGTCTCTGCTCGGGTGGGCGGCAGGTGCAGCGCAGAGGGTGCCGCTTCCTCGGGGTTGGTCGCACCCAGTCCCGTTGCGCTGAGCGCCAGAGGCTTTCAGTCCCCGACGGATGGTCGGCTGAGCGTTTGCTCCTCTGCCGCCGGGGCTGCTGCTCTCGCTCGCTGGGCAAACAGCAGAGCGATCCGCCCGCGGGGTGCCATCCCGGGCGCGGTCTGGCAGGCGCCTCGACCGACGGGACTTTGGGATGGGCCGCCTCTGCCAGCCGTTCCCCCGTGGGCAGCCCGGGGGATCGGGCACGTGGGCGCAGCGGGAGTTTTCAAATCTCCGGAGAAAATGGAGTCTGCGCTGCCAGTCTCTCTACCTGTTGGACAGCCTGGCTCGGCCAGCGCCGTGACCTGCTTTCCTCCCCGCACCTCCTTTAGTGCGTCCTGACTGGCAACTGGACCAATGACCTCGCCTCCACCATGCAGATCAGCAACGTCAGTAACACGGGGGCGTTCAGCGGCATTTACCAAACGGCCGTCTCGGACTCTATCAATCCCATCCGGCCATCCCCGCTGCAGGGCGTCCAGGGCCAGGGGGCACAGCCTGTCTTCGGCTTCACCATCAAATGGAACTTCGCTGGTAGAACCACTTATTATTTGGGGTGGAAGCATATAGAATGGGAGGAGGGAATCTAGTGGATCTCCCCTTCCTTAGATCTGCCTCTTGCAGATTCTGTCACTGAATGCCCCCCTCCCCATTAGCTGGAGCTGCCCAAAGACTTTTCCAACCTAAAGGTAGCATCGGTGAGCGGCGGTCTTTGGGGGAAATATATCCCTGCCCCAATTGAGTCTCTGGCCGATTCCTCCCTCAGAGTCCATCTCCGTCTTTGTGGGCCAGTGTTTCCTGGATGCTGACGGGAAGGAGCAGCTGAATACCACCTGGCTGCTGCGCAACATGATGGAGTCCAGGAAAGACGATTGGAAAGCAACCAGGTAAGGAAAAGCAGGGGCTGAACTACTGTGCCCCCTAACTGGAAGGGCCCTGGGAGGCTCTCTGGGGCGCCCCCTTCTTTTTCTCTCTTTCCTCTCCCCTCCCCCCCCAGAAAGTGGCTCCTGAAAGGCTGCACCAATGGCTCCCATCCTTTCAAGAGTCATTTCAGTACCCAGGGCTGAGCAGCTCCCGCGGGAGAGGCTAGCATTACCAGGTCCCATTTCTGCCACTTCCCCCACGAAGAAACCCAGCAAAGATTTTGACGAGGTTCCTCAGGTCCTTCTCACTGACAAACTGTTGAAGTGTGGTTTGGGTGGCATCACAGTCTGGTGGGCCCACAGCTGGCAATACTCTGAAAGTTGTTGGGTGGAAGGAGGGAATGTGGTGGGGTGGGGTGCTCAGTTTGGGGCAATCATGCCACCATGAATTTTGAAATTTTCCTCCTTCCTGCTTTTTTGTAGGGTTGGCACGAACACTTTCTACCGCACCGTGAGAGGGTGAAGAGAGCCAGGCTTATGTGGTTTCTGCCTTGGGGGGGGGGGGGCAGGCAAGCCTTCCTACCTCACCCATCAGCCACTCTTCTCCAATAAAATGTTTTCCTGAGCAACATCAGCCTCCTTGCTCTTTCAGAAGCTCCCTGGGTGCCAGCCTGCAGGCTTCCCAGAGATACTGGGTAGAACCCCCATCTGGAGGGTGGGCTCAAAGCCAACTGCTCTGCCCTTTACACAGCCTCTGCCCTTGAGGACTATTGGGAACCTGCAGCTAATCCACTGAGGATCTGACCTATTAATTTATTAGCAAATTATTAATAGGTTTTTGCAAATGAGCAATGAATTGGCTTCAACCAGAGCTGGGCCATCTTAATTATTTTATCAGTTTGATAGAGTCATTGTTAGAACCAGCAGTTAGCTAACAGCTATTTCAACACTTACCTGAAGAAGCCAAAGAGGTTGACCACAAACAAACGGTTCAGTCAAAGGAATGTTGATTTGCAACCATGCAGAAGAATTTTGCAAGTGGGCCGTTAGTGTCACAAGGAAAAGTGGTGTTTTGCTTAAGCCATGACCAAGAATGTCAGGGCAAAGGTCCAAAAGCAAAAAGCTCAATGTTAGCATGTCAAAAAACAATCCAAGAAGTGGAGAGCTCATTTTATTTATTAAATTTTTATGCCGCCCCTCTCAATAATGCGGTGACTCTGGATGGCTTACAATGTAATAAAAAGTGCTAAAAAGAATTGAAACTAGATTAAAAAGATTAAAAGTTAAGAACAATGTACAACCTGGGGTTGAGAATCTTCTCTGCCCTGTCAGACACCTCCCCCAAAAAAGTGAATGTCTGAGGCACAACTGGAACAGATGCTGTTCCAAGAAAAGATAAAAGCAAAGGAAAAAGGGGGATTTTTTGGGCTGTGTCAGTAGTCCAAGGAAGAGGGAGGGAGGGAGGGAGGAGTAGATCTGCTGCAAGGAGGAAATGGCTGAAGGGGAAGAAGGAAAGGGCCAAGGAGAGAGAGAGAGAAAGAGAGAGAGAGAGAGAGACCCAGGATGCCATAGATGAGTTGAAGTCTCCAAGCCAAGTTGTCCAGGAGTCTCAAAAAGTGCTCATGGAGGCCACCTCAGAGCCCTCGCCATCATAGTTTAGTGCTTAGCAGGAGCATCAAGGGTTTGGGTGTGATCCAGTCTGATATTTTTTGATACACTGATTTAGTTGATTATGGGAATGCAGTGGACATAAAATCCCGGTAAAGAAGAAGGCAACCTGTGGCTGGACTACACTACCGTTAAATGGATACAGAGCCGACTGAGCAATCAGACCCAACCAGGGGGTATTAAAGGCTCCAGATCTGATTGGAAGGAAATGACGAATTGCAGGGCTCCGTTTTAGGCCTTGTGCTGTTTAACATATTTATAATTAAGTTAGTTCAAGAGTTAGAAAATATTGCCATCAGTTTTGGACATGATACTTCAGAGGGCAGAATGAAGATTTCAAAGGATCTTTAAAGGCTGGAATAATGGGCAAAAAGCAGGATGATTAATTTCAACAGGGATAAATGCAAAGTCCAATATTTCTGTAGAAACAAAAAGGGTTTTGTTAATAAGTGCAGCATGGCAGTAGTATTTGGGAAAAGAATCACATGGCTGTGGATGGATCCCAAGTGAAACCAACCATTAATGCCAAAGGAACTGTTGAAAGATGTTGCCTTGTGAACACACACTCACACACACACACTTAAATTCAGGAATCTGAGCACAAAGCATTCGGGAAGAAATAAAAGAAGGGGGGAAGCGATACTGGATCCCTTTGAAAGAGGCTATTATGAGCGAAAATGTTCCCTAGTAATTCATCGAAATGCTGGAAATGTAAGAGTAACTATGGAACATATTATCACCTCTGGTGGACCTGCCCAGTGGCAAAGAAATTCTGGGCTAAAATTAAAAAGTGAATAGAGGAAATAATTCAGAATTCAATAAAGGGAGAACCTGAGCAGTTTCTACTAGGGATTTCCATAGAAAACTATACCAAGGAAATACATTATTTAATATTACATATACTGACAGCAGCCCACATAGTCTATGTGCAAAATTGGAAGAAGGAAAATCTACCATCAGAAGATGATTTAATTAGAAAAAATTTAGAATGCGCAGAGATGGACAAATTAACAAAAGAAAGAAGAAAGAGGATACAGAATATTACAAAGTGTGGTGTAGATGGTATGAATGGTCGGAGAACAGGAAAAATGAGAAAGAGGAATAAAAGAGAAAGGGGGGAAAATGTTGAAGATCAAGGTACAATGTTGATGAAATAAAGAAAGATGGAAAATAATTGTTGAATAAGACAAAGTTTAAAATATGTGTACATAGATGTAAATAGCAAGAAAGGATCACTTCGAAATAGCTGTAGGAAAAAGTGATATGTATATAAATGTTGTGTGTTTGTGTCTTGTTTTAATGTATTCAAAATAAAAAACTTTTTTTAAAAAAAGAAAGAGGCTATTATGGACCACTTGGACAGGCAGAAGACACAGGCCCCGTCTTTCTGCATCCGATGACCAGAGAGGCTTTCAGGGAGACAGCAAGAGACAGATCTTTTGTGATCTGGTTCAGGAGGGGGGTGCGGACCTGGTGGGTATTAAGGAGACCTGGTGGGGTCAGGAGGGGGGGTTCCCCTCGTTGAAATGTGCCCACCGGGTTTCTACACATTCTATTGGCCGAGGTCCCAGGGGAGGGGAGGGGGGTGGCGGTTCTTGTAAAGGAAGGACTTGCTCCAAGGGAGACCACTGTACCTCAGATAGCCGGATGTGAGTCCCTTCTTGTGAAGTGGGGACAGAGGCAGATGGGCTTGGTGATCATGTACCTGGCTCCCTGCCACATGTCGGCGGCCCTGCCCGAGCTGCTCAACGTGATTGCCGAGGTGGCGGTGGAGACCCCCAGGCTTATGGTCATGGGGGACTTCAACTTGCCATCCGTCGGGAAGCGCCTGGGAGTTCATGGCTTCCATGACAGCCATGGACCTGACCCAATTAATTCATGGACCCACTCACACGGGAGGACATACTCTGGACTTGATTTTTGTCTCTGGTCAGTGGACGAATGATCTTGAGATAGGGGAGATAGCGACTGAGCCCTTGTCATGGTCAGATCATTCCCTTCTTAGGCTTGACTTTCTAACCACCACACCCCGCTGCAGGGAGGCGGAACAGACTAGGTGGTTCCGCCCCAGGCGCCTGATGGATCCTGATAGGTTCCAGACGGAGCTTGGGCCATTCCCTGAGGCTCTGACTCACGGCTCAGCTGAAGAGCTGGTGGCCGCCTGGGATAGGGCGGCCGCTGACGCTTGCTGAGTTTACCTGGCTCCTTGGTTCTCCGAGGAGCTGAGGGAGAAAGACGCCTGGAGAGCAGTTGGAGGACCAGCCGTTCCGAATCTGACCGAACACTGGTGAGGTCTCATATTAAGACCTACCTAGTGGCGATAAAAGCAGCCAAATGTAATTATTTTTCTGCTCTTATCGCATCTGCAGATAACCGCCCAGCCGCCCTATTTAGGGTGACCCGCTCCCTTCTTCATCTGGGAGCGCGGGAGGATCCCTTGCAGGGTCGGGCTGAGGATTTTGTGCAGTATCTGCACGATAAAATTACTCAGATTCGGGAAGGCTTGGCCTCTGACTGGGTGGATACAGGCGGGATGATGAAGGCAGGTCTTGAGAATGTCATTTGGGAGGAGTTCGACCCTGTCACTCCCAAGGATGTGGACAGGATTCTGGGATGGCTGAACGCGACCACATGTTTATTGGACCCGTGTCCCTCCTGGTTGGTGCTGGCCTCCTGGGAGGTTACGCGAGGCTGGCTCCAGGGGATTATCAATGCTTCGTTGAGTGAGGGTGTCTTGCCATCCGCCATGAAAGAGGTGGTGGTGGGGCCCCTCCTCAAGTAGCCTGCTCTGGATCCGGCTGTTTTGGCTAACTACCATCCGGTCTCCAATCTTCCCTTCTTGGCGAAGGTTCTTTTTTTTTTTCTTTTTAATTGAAAAAGTTTTACAATTACATTTTCTCCCCAGTTCCCCCCCCCAACCCTCCCTAACCCTCCCTAGCCCCCCCAGCCCACCCCTCCCCCCTGGACTTCCACAAAATATAATCCAAATCAAAATCCCCTTTTTATAAAACTTGAACCCCTCCACCCCCTGTATATTTTTCACATCTTCACAAAATTCAAATATTCTATCTCTATATAATACTTTCAGTTAAAAGCTATCTGATATTTCCTAGTTTGATATTTATTCTGCACATAATCTATCCACTTTTTCCACTCCCATACATAAGTCTCTTGTGAGCGATCTTTTAGATATGCTGAAATCTTCGCCATCTCCGCAAAGGTGGCCATCTTCAAAGTTCATTCATCAATAGTAGGCATAGCTTCATTTTTCCAATATTGACCTATCAGTAATCTCGCTGCTGTTACAATATCAACTTTGTTTCACCCAATGTAAAACCCTTAACTATACCCAATAAAAACAATTGTGGAGAAAACTGAATTTTTTTCTTCAAAACATTCTGCATAACCCACCAAATTTTTATCCAAAAAGCCTTCACTTTCTTACAAGTCCACCACACATGATAATATGTGGCATCTAGGCAATCACATCTCCAGCATTTTGATTGAACATTAGGGTACATGCACGACAATTTCTTAGGATCTAAATGCCATCTATAAAACATTTTATAAAAATTTTCCCTCAAATTCTGCGACTGTGTAAATTTAACATTCTGAACCCATATTTTTTCCCATGTTTCCAACATCACTGGTTCTGCAAAATTTTGTGCCCACTTTATCATGCAATCTTTAACCAATTCAGTTTCTGAATCCCTTTCTAACAAAACATTATAAACCCTTTTAATATGCATTGGACCTTTCTCTTTTATATGTCTAACCAATTCTTCCTCATGCATCATTATACCAGTTTTTTGGTCCTCTTTCCATCTCAATTGAAGTTGATTATACTGTAACCAAGTTAAATTAATCCCTTCTTCCAACAGCATTTCTAAAGTCTTCAGTTGCCATCTGCCCGCATCTGCAAAAATTATTCTTTATATAAAAACCCAAGTGACATTATATT